AGTCTGACCAACGAAACTGACACTACTCTGCACAAGCTCCGCGAGCTGACCAAGAGAATCAAGGAGTGGGAGGTTTATACCGAGGTCAACTACATGTCATGGTCCAAAATACTTGAGGCACAGATCGCTGAGTTGACGGAAGATTACGGCGGCGCCATTAAGCTGTACGAAGAGGCTCTGGACAACGCCGAGGAGCACAACTACCTGTTTGAGGCGGCGGTAGGCAACACGCTGATGGCGGGTACGCTCGTCAGACGCAAGGCCCGACGACTGGCCCGCTCTGCGTTCCGGGATGCCATTGCTTTCTACCGCCAGTTCGGAGCTGTCGCCGTCGCTGAACGCCTCGAAGAGGAGCACGCTGTCCTACTTCACAGTCCCGCAAGAAACCCCAGAACAACGAACGCCGCCGTGCAGACAGACTTTGCCGGTGACAGTGGTACAGTCGGTTACCGCGTCGTCGAGGGCGAAGAAGGCCCAGAGGGGCTCCAGCAGTCCAACCACACCGCCATCGCCGACATCAAGGGCGAGCGGATTGGTGCGTGGCGCGGCTCAATGCACGAACACAACGAACTTGGGGCAGGTCTACCTGCACTTGATATGATTGATCTGCATGCGATTCTGCTCTCCTCCCAGGTGATCTCTGGCGTCCTCCGGGTCGATGAACTGCTCAAGACTATGTGCGACGTCATCCTGCAGACCTGCGGCGGCTCGGCTACACTCGCTGCCATCGTCGTTCAGGACTCGGACGAGTCTGGTTGGTGTCTTGCAGCTAGTGGCGACCCGGAAAGGGGCGCGTCGGCGCATATTCCAGGCGTGCCCCTGGCAGGCACATCACTTGTCGCTGAAAACGTCATCCTCTACTGCACCCGTTTTCGAGAGGCAGTGTTCATCCCCGACATCATCAGCGACGAGCGGTTTGGGAACGTGAGTGAGGCCTGGCTGCAGCGGAACGTCCTCAGCAAGGCCATCATCGCGATTCCCATTTGCCACGGCTCCAAGCCGCTCCTCGGTGTCTTGTACCTCGAGGGCGAGCCGGGCTCCTTCACTGACCGCAACGTTTCTGTCCTGCAGTTGTTGGTTAACCAGATTGGCATCAGTTACTCCAACGCCCTGGCCATGAAAGCCGTCGAGAAGGTCTCCGCAGAAAACGTTTCCATGGTCGCCCTGCAGAAACGTGCGCTGGCCAAGGCTCTCGAGGCAGAGACCAAGGCCAAACATGCCGAAGCGGAGGCCAAGCGCAATGTCAAGTTAGCCGAAGAGGCTGCTAAGGCCAAATCCATCTTTCTGGCCAACGTCTCTCACGAGCTGCGCACGCCTCTTAATGGTGTCATTGGGAACTCCGAACTGCTCAAGGACAGCGAATTAGACAAGGATCAGCAAGAAATGGCGGATAATATCAAGGTATCCGCGGAGCTTCTGCTCACTGTCATCAATGATATTCTCGACTTTTCCAGGATGGAGGCTGACAAGATGAAACTGTACGTCATCGCCTTCAACCCCGAGGAAATGGTCCGCGAGGTTGTGCGGGCCGTGTCTTACAGCAACCGGCAAAAGACGAAGCAGAAGAACGTCAAGATTATACAAGACATTGACCTGCCCTCGATGCTCATCTTTGGGGATCCTATCAGACTTCACCAAGTCTTGGGCAACCTCATCAGCAACAGTCTCAAGTTTACCGAGGACGGATCCATAACTATCGGGGCCCGTGTCGAATCGGAGACCAACGATAAAGCTACGCTCCTGTTTAGGGTACAGGATACAGGCATCGGCATTCCTCAGCAGCAATTGGCCAAGCTCTTCCAGCCGTTCAGCCAGGCAGACACCAGCACGGCCCGCAAGTACGGCGGCAGCGGGCTCGGCCTGAGCATCTGCAAGTCTTTAATTGAAACGATGATGAAGGGTAAGATCCAGCTTGACAGTCAGGAAGGCGTAGGGACGACGGCTTGGTTCAAGGTCACCTTCGACAAGGCCAAGTCCGACGTATCCGCCGGCGACGCACAGCAAATGAAATCCCCGCCAGCCGTCGAGCGCTCTGCCTACCTCGCCGAGCGTGATTCGTCGCCAAATCCGTTCCTGGACCTTACCGCCATCTCCAAGGACCAGATCAGGATTTGCATCGCAGAGGACAACCCCATCAACCAGAAGATTGCCATCCAGTACGCGCAACGCCTGGGCTACACCACTGTCGATGCCTACGAGAACGGCCTCAAGGCTGTGGAAGGTTTGCGCCAGAAGGCGAGGGAGGGTCGGCCGTACCACGTGGTCCTCATGGATGTGCAGATGCCCGTGCTCGATGGATATGAGGCGACCAAAATGATCCGCAAGGACCCCATAGACGTCGTGCGCAAGATACTCGTCATCGCCATGACAGCGTCAGCCATTCAGGGAGACCGCGAGAAGTGTCTGGCGGCAGGCATGAACGATTACCTCGCGAAGCCGGTGCGCTCCGAGGTGCTGAAGAAGAAGCTGGATACCTACATCAGCCCTCAGGTATCCGTAAGCCAGACCCTGGTCGGGTTCTCGAGGCTCCCACGCTAACCGCCACTTAGACCGCTTCGTCTTCCGACGCCGTACGCTCTTCTTCCGCGTTACCGGCGTACGCTACTACTGATCTCAACGGTGCTGGGGCAAGCTTTCACCTGCCAATCAGGGAGAATCCGGCGTACAGTCGACCGTCGGGCAGCACCGCGGCGCCCAGTCAAATATCGAGCGACACAAGGTCGACTACTGATACAAGTTTGGTAGCCGAGACGCAATCGCAGGCTCCCTCACAGAAACGCGCATTGCGCAAACTCACCAAGACACGCACTAGCACCGAGTCGCTGCCAGCAGAGAAGCCCAGAGCAGTCCTCACCAAGAAGGCGCCGCAACGTCAGGGGACGACCTCATCGATGGACGAGAACCTCAAGCCGGAGATTATGTCATACCACGCGAATAGCCGCAACAGCACGAGCTCGCAGGGGTCGAGCGGAAAAGACAAGATCATCCCCGGGTAAGGCATCAGAAGCCGCCCTCCCCATAGGATTGGGGGCCTGGTCTAGGATGGCACGACAGTCCAAAGATGCTACCCAGGCAGCAGACTTCAGCAAGAAAAGAGACCATTTCATTCCAGCCGAAGCAGCTGCGGCTGAGTGGATACGGAGTAGTAGTTCAAGAGGAAGGCTTATACCAACAAGAGGTGGATGGTGAGATGATTAGTCGGCGGTGTGAACGCCGTGTTAACTAAACCTTGGATTCGAACCTATCCTGTCTTGTTTCACTCGAATTGGGCGCAGAAAAAGAACACAGGAGAGGGAAGGCGTCCTGACACTTGATGATTTATTTCACTGTCACAAAGAATATCGATTGGCTCTATCCGGTAGAGTGGAAGGAACAGGAGTTCAACGGTACCCTCAAGCATTCTGAATTGTTAAGGAACATTTGTTTTCAATCATAGCATGGCAATGGCATACGGTCTAATCCGTCGGTGGTGAAGAGTGGTCACCGGGGACGTGGGAGGCAAAACGATTTTATTCTGCTGTATATACATACATATGGTGATCGACAAGCCATCTCCCGTGCTTCGCAGTTGCCTGGCTCGTAGTGTCTTGCCAGTGATCTGAGTGTGCAGCGGCTCGTGTAGCCTGCAACGTCCCGTACGTGGAAGAGGTCAGCAGACTGCGTCTTAGGCACGCCCTTCTTCGGGAACCCCCTCCGTCTTCCTCTCCTGCAGTATGATCAGCCCAGCCTGCTGCAGGTAGTGCCGTTGACGTGCAGGAGATGTTTGAGACAGACGGGCATACTGACGACAGCAGAGACGAGCCAGGATTGCAATTCTCTCTGCTGATGTTGTCTTAAGTGATGTGTCACTTGCACTCAACCCCTTTGGGAAGATGCACCAAAACCCCAGAACCAATCAATGCCGCATTCCCCATGCTGATCGGGGATCCAGGAAATTTCAAATCCCATGGCACGGGTCGGTCGTCTACCACATGTTTCGGCCACCGCTCTTTGAATTCGTGTCTCTCCCTCGATCAGAATCAATCTGCACCGTTCGGGCCATTGCTTTGCTTAGATCGAGGATTTTGGGGGGGGAGGGGGTTGATTCAAAATGTCTTGGATAGGCAAAGAGCTCCCCCCCTCGAACAATCTTTCAACCCCCTGAGTCAGCCCTCGCCCATGCCTCCTTGGTGTGGTTTGGCGGCCTTCTCAGCTTGTCTTTCTCAGGAACTGGGTCGACACACAATGTCCATGGGGTTGGCATCCCTGGTTCAGAGTCAGACCCAGCATTAGGAACTTCGGGTATGGGGCTTCGGGGAATTGGTGACTATAGTCAGTGGACGACGGGATCCGACCCCCGGATGTGGGCGCAAGCCCAATTAGTCTTTTCGTGGACTGGAACGGTGAGGTTTGAAACAGACGCAGGTGTACCGGGTTGGACGTCGGATACCGCTTCGCGTCATTTCATTTCACTGATGTCTTTATCACTTCGTCCATCTTACTCACGTAGCCTTGGGAAGCTAGGGGAGTCGAATACCACGATTACACGTATTGGTCTTGCCTCAGATCTCTTTATATCTCTCGTGAAGGCTTGCAAGATCGAGGGGGACTAGAGAAAGGAGGTGAAGGAGGTGAAGGCTAGGCTTTCAAACTCCGTGTACGGGAAAGCGTCTCATATAACAACATGTAGAATGAAATAGTGGACAACTTTTGCTTACCAAAGTCCTTCGCACCTGATATTGTCCTTTGTTGGAGTTAACACCATAGTCTGGCCTTGTCCACACGGATGTAGCCAACAACGCCTCAATCTTGATGCTCCGTATCTGACCTGACACAGCCCGACAAGGCTGTCCCATCAACGGCTAGCCCGCAAGATTAGCCCTCTGGGCGAGGGAGGGGCTAGCCAGATAAGGAGGGTTCGTGATAAATGAAGGGAATTGCCCATCGTCATCAAGCCAAGCAGGAACGAGTCGCAAAATGGCCTCATTTGCAAAGCCGAGGCCGGGAGACCCCCCGGCTCTTGGAAGAAGAGACTCGACTTACTCACATCAAGCGGATCGCGACAACGAAGCTGCTGCAACATTCAAGCGACAGATTTTCGTTGTCACCCGTCCGCCTACCCCCTGCTTGGGATGCGACGTTGACAAAGGGATGACAGCCAAGGGAGCAATTCTGCCTCGTCGTTTATGCAACTGGAGACCGCAGACGGTGAGCTACGTAGTAAAGTGCTGCTGCACTTCCTTCCTTTTCCTCTTCCTCTTCCTCTTCTTCTTCTTCTTCACATGGTTGCTCTAACTCCGGTTTGTTCCCCTATCGGTCTAGTGCAAGTAACATTTAGAAACCCTGCATTACGGATGGCATCATTTGTGAGAGTGCCCGTCATCACTCGGTTGTTAGGCTGGGAATGGCTGGCTTCGTCAACCACAACCACTCGATATTTCGTGTCTCGCCACTCTTTCGTCCCATGTCGAACACCCACCCACCTTGATCAGATCCAACTTGGGCCACCCCCAAGAGGAGGATAAACTTCTCGGTTCATGTTATGCAGATACCATACCGTTTAGCTCAGATCACAGGCTCATCCCATGTTCGATAAACCTCCCCCGGGTTCACCCCTCCTCGCCCGTGTGCTTGCAGAGTTCCCTTGTCCGCAAGATCTTGGGCGAGTTCTTGTCGCCTGATGATCAGCCTAGCATGATATTTTCTCGAAGAGATCTGGTGCATGATGCATCCTTTGAATACAAACGTCTGGTCCCAGAATTGAGGTGGAACGAGGCCGAGGAGAGACGAATAGGTGACATGCGGGGTCGTGGGAAGATTGCTATGCCTTGCCGGACAGCTTCACGCCCTCCCAACCTTCCGATTTGATGATCCTTCGCTGGATGCTCAACTTTCTTCTGCTTCCTCTTGCTTCATGGTCAAGTCCCCGCTTTATCTGGGGCCGGTTTGTTACTCATCACCCTAACGGTGGGGTAGTAAAGGGCAGGGTCTCGAGTTCCTTGACTGAGTCCGATAACCGCCCAACGGCACGCATGAGCACCTCCCCGGCCGTGTCAAGAGTACCTGTACACTTCTTGGCGGTCGGTTCGGGAGACAGCCTACTGCCATTCTTCTGATTGCGATTCCCATCTCTCCGCTTTCCCGGGCGGGTTTCAATCTCCCCTGCTATGGGGAAAACATACGAATGCTCATGTCTCCGCGTCGCCCCTCCTCCTTCCCTTGCTCTAGGTATGTACTGCCTCAACCTGACTCTCTGTGCAGCATTGCTAACAACGTTTCGCTCGGTTGATGAACGGCAGAGAGCCGTTGGTGGGCGCGGCAGACCTGGATACGACGGAAGTCAAACATCGTTTCGCCCTTCGAGAGTACCTACCTATAACACCTCTGATGGACGACGTTGGGCACGGGTAGGGATATAGGATGTAAAAGATGCGACGAAACAAGATTCTGAACACAGAATGCCCACCCTGCCCTTTTCCCAGAGTAACTAGGTGCCGGTGTCGGTCCCGGTTGGCCTAAAAGAATTTCCCGTAATGGTTGGCTGGATGTAGCATCCCTGTCGTGCGCTCAAGAGAAGTTGAGAAATTGGATTAACTACAATATAAACCTACTCCAGCATGGTAAAGGCTAGCGCAGTACTTATGTTTTCTGCTTAGGAGGGAAGCTTCCCAGGTACTGCGTTAGCCCTCAACATTCTGGAGTAGGCTTGTATTGTACCGGTAGTCGACCTGCAAAAATCCTCTCCAGATCAGGGCATCGATAAAGGGGGTCGAGGGAAGGCCTCGCCTCACTGGGAAACGTCCGCATGGCCAAAGTGGCACTAGCTATCTATCCCTGTCGTTGTCTCGTTAGGGCGCTGGCGCCCTGGATTATGCCCGGCCCTGTTGAACTGCTCCTCACAACGACTCTCCCAGCTTGGGTCGACACCGTGCCGGGATTGATTCACATGGATGACGCTCCATAGTAACAACCGCAACCGAAGAAATTTCTGTCATTGGTTAATGCTGAGGCTGTGAGCAAACATCTCGCAAAGCGGCCAAAACGTGGTGAGTTTGCTGTGATAGATGAGACGAAACTCAAGTGGAGAAAGAAGAACTTGGATGCCGCCAAGTGACCGTCCAGCCTGCATCTGCCAGCACTACCTGCTCTTTGCTTGTGCATTACCCCATTTGATGACAAATGAGGAAACGTCTGGCCTGGACCTGGCGAGCGGGACAATCTCCTGCTCCGAGCATCCGAGGCGTGGTAGGGTAACATCCCTCACCACCCTCATCTATCTTCGACGCAAGCCTAGTGGGCATGTCAAGGAATGTCTGGGAAGAAGGTCGTCAGTCCGTCCATCACTAAATGGGATGGGTACCCATGATCCCAGACGGGCCAGAGCACCCATGCCTTTCCCCAGTTCGTTTTGTTATGTCGAGCGAAAAGAGATGAGATGGGTGAGGTAGGGCAGGCGAATTGGCTTTCTCCACCTAATAAACTTGTGACAAAAGCTAGCATGCCCAATGCCGCAATCAGTCGAGCTTCACGCCGCCAGCCACTCCTACCGAAACTTGGCCAACGAGCAGAGAGACTCGGAACCTGAAAAGGGGTTCCCTGGTATTGCGGTACATCAAGGTTCTGAGGAGCAGAAGAGCGGAATACGGTGGAGAAATGGAAAAACCTAGTCCTCGATCGCATGCCTTCTAGTCCTTCAGCACGTCAACATGCCTTGACCTACTGTCGTCCGCGCAATAAGAATGACGAGGAGTGATTTCCGTTCCCGAAGACCCGTGTTTCCCAATGACTCAGGGTTGATATGAGCGAAGGCTGGGAGAGGCACCGGGAAGGAAACGGCTGTATTCGAACCTCGAGCCTGGGTCCGTACGAGACGAGTGAGCATGCGCTTGCCAACGTCATGACGGAGAGACCCGCCAGAAACGAGGAAGGAATAATTGGGACAGCTGCTGGACGCCAAAAACGACTGATCGAAGTCGGACTTTTGCTCGATTCAGGGGCGGGAGGGTTACTCGCTAACAGGCTACCCGGGGGCGTCATGTAGCCTCATCGCAGATCATCAGTCGGGTCAAGACATCTTTTGGGCACGTGCTCCAGCGAGCCGAAGAAGCGGAACTGGGCGTAGCGAAGCTCCTCAGCAATGTGTGTCGGCGAGTGATATCGCCCATGATACTTATACTGAGCCTATCCGACTGTGTAGGAGTATCATTGTGCACCTGTGCGAACCCAAGGAGGTCCGCCTTGGATACGTACCTAGGCAACAGATGATTCGGGTATCGCTTGTGGGACTGACTACCGGTAACTGACTGCCTGTCTGCTAGGTTTTCTGCCTCGTTTAAGTTCCAGCGATTGATGGTTGTTGCTCAATCCCATCTAGCCCTCCCTGGTCCATCGATTGCACTTCGCTGGCACCCACGAGCACTCTCTTCTCTCCCGCGTAGATCTCCTGGGCTAGTTTCGCGGAAGATCGGCTCACCTAGAGCATGACTAGCACGCACCGCACCCAAGTTCGCACATGGCTGGAACACATGCAAAGCACATGCTTTCCACGTCCAACTGCCCTGTCGTTGACGGTCGTGTCTTGAATGATTCGATGGCCTTGAGTAGCAGCCAAGTAGGCTGGTTGTTGTTGTTGTCTGCGAAAGTTAATCTCGAAATAATGCGAGCCAAATATTGCCCAGGGGCCTATAAGGGTCCATGCCCATTGGAAGACCGGCGTCACGGCAGGTTAAACTTCATTACCAGTGCCGTTACATACCGACTTCGGCGCCGACAGGTGACCATCTCGTAAAGCCGTATGGCAAGGCGCTCATCGTAACTATCGGGGCACAGATAAGCAGCCTGAGAGGCAATCACAACAACATTTCTTGATCAGGTATTGCACTGTGTAAACAAGACGCCTGAGCAGCATGACCAACAAACGCAAGACGAACCGAGGGACCTGCCTTGGCTCCAATGGGAGGTGGTTGAGAGTGGAGCCTACATAGGTACAGGCTTTCGTTCCTCCCAACCAGGCCGGACTGGGGGCCAGATGTTAAGAATACCAACGTTTCTCGCCGTCCTACTTTGCACATCGCCAGAAGCGGGGTACATTTTGTGTTGGCGCAAGCTGAACATGCGCCGTCCGGCCATGGCCCCCATCGCACGATGGGCGTTGCATCTCCTATGCTCGGAAGTCCGCGAAGCTAGTCAGACGTCGCAGCAAACCCCGTTGAGTAGATTTTTGGAGTCAGCTCCGTCTCGAAACATCCACCAGATGCAGGGGCATTGCAATGCAAAGCCTAGTTAAAGAGAGGGTTCTCGAGCTCTGGCTGGAGGCTCCGTGAGTTCACGATACGTCAAACTGTCATTCTCAGAGCTTCCCTCGCGCGCGCTGTATAGGATAGGAATGTAAGGGCGCCACCGAATTGGGCAACACTGAGAATCTCGGTAAGTGTTTGGTGGCATGTGTGTTACGCTCCGGCTGGTGCGGTGGGGTCCGCCGGGGCTCTAACAGATACAGGGCTGATGGAAGTAGAAGGATTATGCTTCGGAGATTCGTGTTCGGCGCATGGAAGTCTGGGCAGTCTGAGATGTGGCATTATCCGACATTTGGATGTTGTCCGGTGCTCCGTGACAGAAGATGGCCGCTCATGTTCCAGCACTCGATTTACAAACCGCCTTGCGTACGAGCCACCATGCCCTTCCGGGCAGAGTCGCTGATATATCGATCAAAGAGCAATCCTTTGGGGGTGCCACAAATGGGCGAAGGAGGGAGACATCGAAGACAGGCGTACTTGAAAGATAATGGCGACTGGTGGCGGGAGCCATGGGCATCAAACACTCTGGAGACGGAATCCGAGCTTGAACCAGATTGCTGGATAAAGAAAGTCAGACACCAGAGCCGCAGTGTTATTTTTGCGCAACGGGCTCCAACCGAAGCTTGTCGTGCACGTCCTAGACAGCCTAGCTGGGACGGAAGAGGCAGTAGCGGGAAATGGGAAGGCGACGGTTCCCTTGTTGGCGTTGCGGTGACTGGAGGTGGGGGCTTGATCGTACGTACGCCCGTAAGGCGATTCACCGTAATGAGAATGATTCGACGGGCCAGTGGCTTATAGCAATTGGAAGGCGTCCGTAATGGCCAACCCACAGTTACCCGGTTGCCGTGCCCGACTGAGTGCCTGTGGAAGAACTGTTGAATTGACACCGATGAGTCTTAGCCCATATCGCTCTCTCTATCTCTCTATCTCTCCTTTCCGTAACCACATATTTTTGGAACTGGTTTTCAACAGCAGCACTGCATACAGCACTGCAGACAGCACAATGGCGTATATGTATATCTGTACAGAACACCTCTGTAGGTAAGCGTCAGTGGTATGTCGTTTTGGTAGAATACCTAGGTACTTAGTGATCTCGGAAGGTGGAGAGGGTGTCCCTATTTCCTCACAACTGTGTTTCAGATCTTTACAGCTCTGGCAGGGATCTGCCTTTTCTTGGTCCACATGCTTACTTGCTTGAGCACCCCCACCAATGTGATTGCGTAGGACCTCTTTCCGACTGGTGGGGTGGGCAAAGCGGAGCTGGCAATATCGTGGTTATGAAGAAGGAAGAGAAGACTCACCCCCCTTCCCAGCCTGTGCTTGCTCTAATGCAGTACGTACCTACCTCGCGATGCACACTTGCCTTCATCGTCGTCCAGGAAGAGCCTAGTAAAAATCACCAACAGGACCGTAACTCCCATAACTTCTCAGAGGGGAAAGTGCCGCCCTCGCTCATTGGTTAGGATTCCACGGGAGGGGCAATCTTGGATCGTCTGCGCCATCGCATTTTGCAAGTGCAAAAAGTCTTACTGAGTCCCAGAATTCAGTCTGGCCCCCTCAGCACCATTATGAGGAGCATCCACACTAGACCATTTCATCACCAAGTATCCGTATAGTACTGTTCATAACTGACGTGAGAAGCACAGCGCGAACACGAGTATGGATGTATGGGCAATGCAATATTAATGGCCACCTTTATTGCAGCTGAATGGCCCCTAGCTACGGCACAAGTTCTTCCACCTTGGCTGATCATTCAGGCTCGAGCATACGCCACAATTCCACCCCTGCCGTGCTGCGTCTTCCAAGTTCCAGCATGTACTGTAGTCTGTAGGTATGGGTATTAGGGTAGCTGCGCCGCTGTGGCTATATGCACAGACCCTCTCACTTGCTGCCGTTGGCCGACATCATTCAGAAATCTGAGATGAGCATGCCGCCGTGGCCACTGTAATCGACGCTTTCGAACCCCGCTGGTAGCCAACGCTGCGTCAGGCTCTTGATTTCGCCTTTTAAGGGAATTCCCTGTTGTTCTAGCCAAATGTCATTCATCCATCAGGAGTCGGGCCCTGGTTTATGAGCCAGTGAAATGAGCATGATCCCATGCCGGTCACCAGCACTCTTCTGTAAATATGGTCCAGGCTCAGCAGTTCACTTGCACGACACGGACGACCCTAGTACTGGTCACTTCTCACTTTCTTTCCCCTGTCCAAGACCCGAGATGCACTACGGCATGACTGATCCTACATGCTTGTAAGACCCCATTCATCAGCCGTCAGCACTTCACAGATTCATGTCACTGCTAGAGTGAGTGATACAAACCGCGGATGCACCAAGGGCCAAGAGAACCGGGATCCGATGATGCCTGAATGTCGCCAACATTGTTACGACTCGAATGGATCGAATGAACGGGTCTAATAATGGTGGTTCGCAGGCGGCGCTCGGTTGAAATCCGAGCAAACTCGGATTTCTGCCCATCGCTGCAGCGTCCAACCGGGCGTACCTGACGATGATGCTCTAGCCTGAGAAATCCGACCAAGTTGAGCGACGCACAGTCGCCTTGATGCACCGCACTCATGATGCTTGCAACCGCCCCTACGCAGTAGGTTCTCGGCGCATTCGACCACCTTTCCTCTTCTGGCCAGCTTCAAGACGGCACGGCATCTCTTCACTCTGTAGGACACAGACACTGGAGCGGCGGACTTGCATGTCCCCGGCGCACGCACTTTCCAGATGGTCAAAGCAAGACACGCCTCGCCTGGCTGAAATGGGTGGAACGACCAGAAGCCTGTAAGAAGCAAACTGTTTTTGCCTGCCACAACCAGTCAGGTTGGATGCCAGGCGAGGGTAACTGGCAGGCGGGGCACGAGCTTGCGTCAAAGCCTGTCTCAGTAGCCGCCCAGAGTGCCTAGCGGCTGCTTAGCCGGAGTCCTCGAGGGCAGAATTGTTCCAGAGCTTGACTTACCGGGCCGTTGGAGTTTGAAATCCCACGCCCAGTGCTCACACAGTTTGGCACATCAAAGTGTCAGGTTCTGGCTCTTGGTAAGTAGAACGCGAGACCGTGATGTAGCTTCCACAAATGTCGGCCTCGGGACTCGCCTTGTTCTAGACTAGACTAGACCATACTTTAGGGAATCAGCCACGCTGTTGGAATGTGGTTGAGACGGGCTGCTCAGGCAATCGACACCGACGTTTCAAGCTTCGAGACACTGGAATGACAGACTTGTTCTGCCGTTTCGTTCTTGGAATCGTTTACTATTGCTTTTCTCTGCTGCATTTGTCTACTTGCAGATGACTTGCCGCAAGGCGTTATTGGTCTCTTTTTACTCCCTCCCATCCTCTCAAGCCAGTGATGCCAAACGCTGACCTCGGACACGTGCTCTCAGGCGACTTGATCTCACAAGTCCCTTGAGTTGTTTGGAGGTTTTATCCCTATTACTTTATCATAATTAGGCGGCGGCCGCTTCACGATGTTTAGCTGGCCTGGTGGCGGAAGTCCGCTGGAAGACTAGTCTGGTACGTCGCGGCCATTGCTGAATCGAAGAGTAACGGCTCGCCAACCTGTAGCAGAGTAGACAACCCACTTGTGATGCCATATAGGTGAATATCGATACAAAGGACCTAGCAGCATTCACACACAGGATTTAGCTCGTGCTGTCAACTCTTGGATACCTGTAAACGTCGGTGTGTCGCACTTTACCTAAATGCTGGGTCGGATATCCAAAGCCTTTCTGTCGCAATTCAATGGGAAAAGGGTGGAAGCTCACATTCCTTGGTTGTGAGATATCACCTAGGTACCTACCTAGGTAGGTAGTTAGCTCAAAAGGACTGATCGGGGCTTGTGGGTATGGATACGTACCGATGCAACGTGACCAGACATCTCCCGAGCGCCCAGATCCTTCGGACTTGGGCAGCATGTTGTACGTACTCTCTGCGTATGTTCTTCCTCTCCCTTCGTCTTTGTCCCATCTATGGTTTGCCAACTAAGGTACGCTGACATAGAAAGCCCTTTCAGAAGCGCACCCCTCTTTGACACTGTCACACCCTCTTCCAGCCTCTGACGACACCATTCACTGTGGCTGGCTGGCCGTCAACCTGGAAGCCATCCAATTCGATCTTGCGAGCCCATGCCCACCCAGGCGTCGCTGCAAAGCCCAATTCTATTTGCAGAGGCCCAGGCACCAATACCTCATTGTTCCTTTCCCCCTCAAGATGTTGATACCACAGCTCATGACCCTCAACAGGGAACCAGCTGCGCCAGTCTTTTCTGCATATATTTACGTTCGTCAAAGGAACCGAACGCTCGGTATCCCCAACATTGACGTTCTTCAAAGACGCCATCAAATCCGGCGGCTGTTTGCCATGGTTCGTGAGTAGGTGAAGTGCAAGGGCGAGCTGTCCTAGTCAACCTCATCCACTCTCCTAATGTTATGGCCATAGGCAAGAACAGACCCAGCTGCTTTCTCGTAGGGCGGCTTCCGAATACGGACATGGCGGAACAAGCTACAGGACGAAACAGAAGAGATGGGGGGGAGGAAAACCAAAATATCAGAGGGCAAATATCCCTGCGTGTTTTCTTCCGTCCGTTCGGAATTTGCATCTTAGTCGCCCTCACGGCATGAAAGTTGAATCAGTCTGTTTCGCTGGGCAGGTCTTGCGTAAGCGATCTCGCCTCCTGGGCTTCCTCAAGCAACCCCAACCCCACCCAGCCACTTTGCAGCCACGTACCGGCCGACACTTGCAGTCCAGATGTGAGAGCACTCGCAAGTGCGTGTCTTGCTTCTCGGTATCAACCTGGTCTATCTCACCCGTGGCAGTCTTGCTTCCTCTGCTTCTCACGTTGGTCTGGTTGTCGTCAACTGGTCATCAGAATCGATCCTGAGCGTCTATACATACATAAGTACTACTGTGTACTCGTATATCTTTACATCTCTGCGTTGCCTCGATGTTGCATGCTAGGTCATCCCTGCTGGCTCCCAATTCCAAACTACATCGAAAGACACGGCACCCGGACGCACACAATACTTCTCAACGGCGACACCCCTCAACTATCTACCCACTTTGGGTAGGTACCCAGTTGGGCCGAGCTACACGGTAACATGCTTACCTACCGGCAGCGGGCCCGGCGGGTTTCTCTACACATGATCAGACCATAATACTGCAGGCCAAGAAGGAAGCCATGGAGAATTATTGGCGGGTCAGAGTAAGAGATAGCTGTGTACAAGGTAAGCGAGAGGAAGCTCCTCGAGCTCGTCTGCTCTTTAGCTCGTACCGCAGCCGGTCTGCGGCTATGCCATCCTCGCGTTGCGCGCGTATGTCTGACCCTGGTACAGTCAGCAGACATATAACACGGAGGGCTTGAAGGTTCACCATGGACTTCATGCAGTAGTCCTTTTACTGCGCACACTACGTGTACGCGCGAGGCTTCTTACAATACATTGCATCTCGCCCCCAACCTCCGATTTCTTGCCGTTTTGCTGCAGCATCCGGCACCAAGCATCTTGCATCCACCCACCTACACTACGCACTGTACATACAGGTACATACCACACCCCTTACACTATATGGCTCATCCCCCGTTCCTTCCATGCATCCATCAATGTGTCTGCACCGGCACAACCAGTTGTGGGCTTTCCCATCTCAGCCCCAGAAAAGAAAAAGAGGGTCTCATGGCCCGATCTTGACTAGTCTTCCTCGCCAAATCTCCCGGAGGGCAACCCCTCCCCTGGCTTGGGTTATTCTCACCCTCTCCCCACTCTTGCCGGTTATTTGGACTCGAACTGCGAGAACTGGGACTGGACCGGGCCTGGACAAACGATGCGCCACCCCCCCCCCCCTGTGCTCATCCCTCCATGTGTCATCTCTTCTGATACACGCTGTTGTAAATGAAATAAACCAGGCTCAGTGCCGTTCTCCACCGCAGGAAACGCACCTCAACCGTTCTGCACCAGCCCTGTCCTGAACTGTCCGTAAACGGCTGGTCTTGTTCTTGTCCTTCTCCATCTCGTTTGCTCTCATTATCCTCTTTTAGTAGTGATGTTTGTTGTGTAAATGTACCGGTTGGCGTTCGAAGCCGAAGAAGCACCAACTCGGCCTCCACCTCCAGAGGTAGACCCTCGTCAATCGCATTTGAGTCGGGCCTTGGGTGGTTCGTCTCGTTTCCCGCGTCTCCATCCAGCATCTGCATCCGCACATGCACCCACCTCCTGCCGGGGTACATTGGGAAAGTGAAATAACGCGAGAGGGAAATAAAGAGAGAAACATTACGTCGCCCCTCCCAGCATGTACACGCATTCACCACACACTCATCATGTATATGCAACACACACCCCCGCCAACCCCCTTTCCCCGAGTGTGTGGGTTCAAGCCGTCCGTCCCGTCCCCCTAAACCACATTTCACCCACATACCATTATACACCTCTCAGTACCTGGCCTCCAGCTCAAGCGCTATGTTAGCACACCGGGCATCAGCACAGCATCACCATCGATCAAACTGTTCAGTACTCTACTCCCCTGCCATTGACACACCTGATTCTCCCAAGATTGACGGGTCCAGTACCAAGGCCCAAGTCTGACCCTGCCTCGAGCCTTCGATACAAATCATCTGCATCAGCCTTCATGTACGGGGCCCGTTTTCCACCTTGCTAATCGTCTGTCTGTCTCCCGCCGCCCGGGATTCATATATATTGCTGTACCTATTCTCTAATACAATCCCCAGAACTCACATATCTAGTATGGAGAAGTCACTAAATACAAAATGGAAGACGCCTCCATGACTAACGAGGTCAGGCCCGTTTCTACACAGGTAGACTTCATCAGTGTACCCCCCGCCCGGTTTCTATCACACAACCACTATCCGTACCTACCCAAGAGCGGGGACAGTGACGAGAACGAAGGGGGGGACGAAGACGAAGCGCCGTAATAACGGTTAGACTCGCTTTCCTTGCCTGACTTTTCTCTGCCCCGTCCTGTCCTGCTTTTGCTTCACATCTTTCCGTACACCGTCGGCGCTACTAGTAGTATTCCTTGCAAGCTGCCGTGCCTTACTAGTCCTAGCTGGGTACGGAGTTACCTCTGCTTTCTCCCTCTGGGACCTGGGTCTGAGTCTAGATCTGGGTCTTTTGGGTCTTTGGGCCTCTCCTCGTCTTTATCTGGGTCCTGCGGGATACGTACCTTCATGGTTCGAATGTACTGCGTATCCCCCCGTCACTTTCCCTTTCCAAGGCCGGTCGCCCTCTCCAGCTTTGCGCTTGGAAGAAAGAAAAAAAAAAGGTTATTTCCACCACCCGCACCCCCCAATACTCACCTCCAATTGTTCCTTCCTCCTTACCTACCTACTTCACCTTTTCGTCTTGGGTCCTCTCTTCAACCTTTTCTTCCAGCCATCTTGCTTCCAGCACCGTCTTGTCTGGCCAGCCAGCGTATCTTTTCTCTATTTTGCTTCTTGACCTTCCTTCAGCTCCCCTTTGTCTCTTTTCCCCTTCATTATTCCCGTTGAATTGACACGACCTCCTCAGGCGGTTAACAACGCTGAACACTATACATCGGCCACCAATGTTGCTCGATTTCATTCTCAACAACTCTTAGACTATCTGGGGCATATGAGTATACATGACCATGCTCACAGTCAAGCAGCCAACACACTACGGCTACAAGTCCGTCCATGACCTACCCACTCCGCCCTCGACATCCCGACCCTCGCCTCCCTTGGCCTACCAAGACCACCCCTCACACAAGCTGCTGCCATCCATTCCCCGAAGTAACAGTCCACCTGGTCAGCCCATGTCGGCACACCATCGTGGCCTGCCTCCGCCAGCGGCCATGACCCTGCCTCAGCCGTCTCACTCGAGCTCTGCTCCTCCCCCGCCGCCGCCACCTACGTCCCAATCCATCGGACAAGCTCCGCCCACCTACAGTCACGGCATGGCCCAGCTACCTGGACCACCGCCGCAGTGGCACGGAGCAGAGGAGTCTATGAGGAGTTGGCTGGCAGCCAAGGCTGAGGAAGAGCGCCGAAGACAGGAGGAAGAGAAGACTAGGCAGGAGTCTCTGCGTCTGGAGCAGCGACGGATAGAGGCAGATATGCTGCGGACCTCTTTGAACGGCGGCATCCCTCCGCCCATTGTCCCGCTCGTATTCGCCGGGATGGGTGGCGGCGTTCCTCCGGCAGCTTTGGAGTGGGCGCAGCAGTTTCTCGCCCAGCAGGGTCAGCAGCCACAGCACCCTCAGTTATTGCCATCTCAGGGTCCTCTGTCACCAGATCACCGCCGCGATTCTCACTCCCAGTCCTACGGCCAGTATTCCGGTGTGCCCTCGACACCGAGCTCGGTCCCGGGCCCTCACAGTTTTGCCGGGTACCCAGGCTCTCCCCAGCGCGGCCGAGCAACAACGTTGTCCTCGACGAGCTCAGTATCCCGACCCCACGGATCTAGCAACTTGCCTAACCTTAACACAAACGTGCCGCATTCTGGTCCGTCAGGTTCATCAACGTTGCAGAACCAGCACCAGCAGCAGCAGCAGCAACATCCTGTGGTGCAGCCGGCACAGAGCCAACAGGAGGCCCAGCCTAGTCCTTCAATTTACTTTCATCATTGGCACCCGCCGACATCCCAAGCCGGAGGTGGCTCAACCCAGCCTGCGACCCCCTCCGGTGCGTCCAGCAAGACAAAAAGAAAGCGAGAGTCGCTTTAGGCTAACCTTGGCTGGTGTGGCCTTTAGGAGAGTCTCCTAGGAACAAGCGCAAGGCCACTGGCCCGCAGCAAGCCCCTCCGCATCCAAGTCAACAACGCCTGAGGTCGCCTCCCTTTCACGGTGGATCAACTCTCGGAAACCCCCCACTGGGACGTAGACGGGGGCACTCGAGACAACACAGCGATGCTTCATCCTACCGGCCGACTGGCCGAGGCCGGGGGGAGAGCTTTGGGATGCCTCAAGGCATGTCTCCACAGGTTACTAGCTTCGGTACGGGTGCCGAACACAACGAGTCGGCAGCTGGTCAACAACAACAAGCAAAAGGTGTTGGCGGTCACTCGGTATCATCATTATTATCGGAAGAACCATCGCCCGCGGCTCAATATGGTTCGGCCCCGTCGGATGCGTACCAAGAACGAGGCGAGGAGCGACGACGGTCCCCATTGTAAGGGACCAGGGTAACACTGATTGACGTTTGGCTTGGGCCAGTTTTACGCTTTATTTCAGCCATACCATCTTGGCGAACGTTCGCGAAACGAGATGCATGAGTACGACATTTTCTGACCTTTCCGCTTCTTCCGGCCAGATGCGGCCGTCCAATTTTTTTTCCTTCGGGCAACAAACCTTGACCTCCCACATTTGAGAATACGGGGAAGGTAAACGGCATTGACGATCTGGCTGCTTTGTCAGTCACTTTGATTACACAGAGGCAGAGATAGCCCTGGATCTCTCCTAGTTGACGCTATTCTAGAACATCTGGAACTGGGGCCGCGCATTCTTACTTTCTTCTTTCAAAAGGCAAGCCCGGTTCACGGCTTTTTTTTTTTCGATTCTTTTTAGGCGGGCAGGAACAGTCCTAGCCGACAAACCTCGGGTTATATCATGGATTTTTTTGATTTTTTCATTTCTCCTCTTATTTCGACGCCTAGTGTATTGATGTGTGCACTTTCAACACATCATGTTTGGATGTGTCCACAACTTTTGAAGGCGGTAAATCATCAGCGGCCAACCAGAACGCCACCTGCAAGATGAGGCTCACAAGGGGCTTGATGAGGCTGTTGAGACTCAGGTTGGAGTTGGTTTTCTTGATTTGAACAAGTTACTGGTATGTGTGGGAGGAGGGGCCGGATAGTTGCGCAATATCGTCACTCTTGTTAGTTCTTGGAAGCCTAGGGCCGGCTTCTCTTGGGCAATCTTACATTATCATGATACCCTGCAGAAAACAGCCATATACACATAAAAAACACACCGATCAAGAAAAGATGAGACGCCTTTTTTTTTTTCCATCTCATTTCTTTTTCACCTCTTTTTCGGCAGGACAGACACGTTTCAGCCCCTTGGAGATTGACTGATGCCTTATCTCGCTTGTTTGATTATCGCAGGCTGAGAGAGGGGTTGTTAGGAAGGGGGCCCAGTAACTTGGCTAATTAACCAACGCGGAGTCCCCCTTCCTCCTCTACCCTTGAGCTGGCCTCTTTCCAGAAGCAGCAGAGCAAGCAGAGAAAGCAGGTCGCCCACCTTGTCGAATTCGTGCTCACTTTGAGGTTGGGTCTAACCGATTCGGCCAACAGCGAGGGCGTAAGTGAGAGGGGGTGACGGTACAGATTTATAACGGGGCCGTGTTAAGCCTGAACGGGGAGGGAGATTAGCGTGCCCCCCTCGGTGATGGACCATGGTGGAGGAGGGAGAAACAGAGAGGTCTTTTCTTTTTCTCATTTCGTCGTCTTCGCTGTGGAGTATCTCTCTGTCTCCCTCAGCCTCCTCCATTGCCCCGTCCGCCCGCCATTTCAGGCGCCGGACCCTAACGTTACGTCCCCCGGCATAATAACTTTGCCCTACCAAGTTGTTGGCCCCGATATGGCCAACACAGAATATATTGGTTGTCAGATTAGATGGTTGGCTGGGGAAAGAGAGGGCACCGGCCGTCTGGAGGACAGTGCGTTTGGTCCTGTTCAACGTTGACTTTGACTACACTCAACAACGTGAGATTTCACGCCGTCAAGGGACACGAGAGTCTGCGTTTTCCCGGTATGCATCTTATCCCTTAGCGAGGAGAGAAAGCCAATGCCAGGAGCATCAGCCGCCTGTCTGCCTTGCCTGCCTGTCGGATAGCGCACGCAGAAACAGGGAGGATTCGAGGAAGAAGCAAAACCAGCATGTGGTTCGATTCAACCCGAGACGATAGCAACTCGACTTTCTTTTTTCCCTTGTCCCCTATGCCCATTCGGGCAGCCGCACAAACGAATCGCTCCCCTGCCGGAGGTGGTACTTGGAACTGACTCTGAGGCAAGTCTGACTGGATTGTGCGTGGTATGCGGACGTGGTGGCTGGCTACCCTATCTACCCCTTGGAAAGAAGAACTCGGACATGATCAGAGTCGCCATCCATCAGGAAGGGTACCAACCTATGCGAGAACTGCCGTCACAACAGTGGAGGGTAATTCCCCGTGCAACACGGCCCGTCTCGCCTCGGACCTTTTTGCTATTATTTTGATTGCTTGGAACAGTGTGATTGGATTTGTTTACGTGGCTGCGTAGGACAAATAGAAGGGAGGAAGCAGGCCGTTTATGCAGAAGCTGTCGCGGTTGCATAACTAGAGAGAAAAGCGAGATGATGGGATGACTGTCTGTTTTAAAACGTCATCTGTGGTACCAATGGTCCAATCAGAACTTGAATGTCGGCACTCGCAGCAGACGTCGGGTTCTTATTCGCAGGGCCTCGCACATATAGGGCTGACACGGCATCCTAAGTGCCGGTAGTGAAGCCGGTGGTGCAAGGAGATTGGGGTGTGTGCGAAGGGGGGCACAGATATATGCGTAGATAGTCTTGGGGACGTGTAGATAGACGCAGGTAGGTGCTCAGACCGAGAATGAGAACGTGTGCGAGATGAGGAACCAATGATACATGTCGAGCTTTGTTCAACCGACCTGGAGTGAAGGGGGAGAAGTCACTTAATTTGTAACCATCAAACGAGCCAAGTCTGCTACCCCTGCTGGCGGCGCGCTTGTGGCGTCTCTGACAGTGACGCTTAGGGCTGGCTGGATCTGGCGGTGTGTGCAAGAGAAGCCTCCCCGTCATGGGGTTGTCCTGACGTGGGCTTTGTAGGCTGTTGTTGCTTGTCCTGAGTCTAACGGCTTTCCTGTCTGATCTGCTTATCGTTCCAGCTGGACTTCATGATAACTAAAATCGAAGGATCGCGATTAAACAATTAACTCTCTGTGGCTTCAGGGCGAACCATGTGCGAATGAATTTGGGACGGGCGGACTGAAACTTCGGCCTTTTATTCTTACGCCTGCTGCTTGCTGTGTAGTACCATGGCCGCTGTACGTCGAAACGGTACTTGGAGCGTTGCTCCGTGCAAAAGATTCATTCCGGCATGGCAATAAACTTTTCGGCAGCGTATCAGAATGTGGATTCCGAGGGGGTCAGGCTTTTCGTTTATTTTTCTTGATTATTGATATAGGAACGGCATATCCGTACTTGGAGAACATGCTAATCTAGCCTTATCATATGCCTTGAAAATGTAACATCAATCCCCCATTTTCCATTCCGGGTGGAGATATCGCACACAATCGTTACTACTGCACGACTCTACACGAGAGTTGGTCGTCTACACCCCACCAGGGCTTAATATGTTCATATCGCCTCCTTTTACAGGAGCTTCACTTGCCAGCCTGTCTCGAAGCAAAAAGTCCGTGTCGACATGCAGGCCCAGGCGCTTTGCTTTGTCGCAAGCAATGTCCATATGTTAACCAAAGGTCTCAGCTCTCGTACAAGAACCCTTGTAAGTTGTTGCTATCGAAAAGTCCACGACTATATCCGGCTTTTCCTGCAGGTTGGGGTGAGATACGGACAGTTGGCCCTATCCACACGCCCACCTTCGAACTGGAGCATCCGTCCTCGGGCTGTACAGCTGGACTTGCATTCATTTCCTTTCATTTCATTGGTTAAATAGACGCAAGACTAACTGGCCGAAAGTCGACGATAGTCAAGAAACCGAATGAACAGACTACGACTAGCAAAAGTTGTGTCACCCACGCTGTGGCGGACAGTAGGCCGCAGACCATAGTGACATTTCACAGTCACAGTGTTATACGCCTTCGCAAATGAGGAGTTGGTGTCGGTGTATTTATCTACGAAACACGCACAAGCCAGTGAGAGCTAGGAGGATGGCATTGCAAGGACGCCATCAACCACAGCCATTTGACGACCTCGCCTGTCTGAAAGCAGCGTACCTATGGACACAAAGGCGTTCCGGGTGGGCGCCCCCGCTCCAGGAGAGCAACGGGAATAGCTCAGAGAATCGGTCACCCGTTTCGAAGACATTGAACCGTGGCCAAACAATGAAGCCGAGCCGGCCACGACTTGCGTAGTAAACTAGACGAACATCATAAACTAGGTATCAGTCATCTCCGAAAGAAAAACATCACTGAAACTGACGGGTGGCCGAGGCAATCTACAGGTGAATGGCTAAATAGTCAACGATTGTATAAGGACTTGGGGAACAGGAATTTAAGATTTCAGATAGATCTATTGGTTTGCAGTGAAAGCATTTATATTCGAACAAGTGGTCCCGCGAGCGAGTGAAGATAATTTCAACTCGAGAAGGCCGTCGTGTTGCTTTTCTCGCTCGGATTTCCTATTGCTAAGCTAGCTACATCAATGGAGACAAAGTCCTATACCACAACATACGACCATACCCACTGGAAAACTCGGGATCCCGTCCGCTCTCCCATAGATAAGCCAGTGAGGGCCGGATTAGTAGTTGGGTCGGTGACGACCAGCGAATACCTGGTGTTGTATGTACTTTTTGATTATTGCTTGAAAATGAGCCTCTACCAACTTAGTCTTGATCGGTGATACTACTAAGCATCAAGAATGCAGTGTTTCCTACAGACACCAATGCAAGACTCTTTAAAGTATTAAAACTCTTTGCCTTTCTTCTAGCTGTTTGCTATAGCTGTTATTTGTAGTATATATACATTTTCAGCAGAACTAACTAGTATAGATGCCCCTAGTTAATGGACTACCCTGAGACTATCGAGTTTATATCGGAGGTTCCAACTTGCGCAAACCCTAGCCGACTATCCATCCCCAGAGTCAAACAATTATCAGTTCCCACCATCGAAATCACAAGCCCATTACCCATTAGTTTTTACAAAAGACATCCTCTCGTACTCGAAGCCAAGAAAAAGGTTTCAATATACGGAATTGGTGACCGGAGTCTGCCTTGTTCGACAGGCCACTACGCCAGACTCAATAAGACTGTCTTGTCAGACTTGCTGCGCCAAGGACACCGCTAGCTCGCAAATAATTCATTGTTTGGTTGAATATGATCGCCCTAAATGCCAACTCGCCGCACGGAAACTACGATGAAGTTTGGCAGCAAATGTGCTTCAAAAATATATTATACATTGGCATCCATGCTCTAGGTGAATGCTCCCTCCAGGTTACCCTCATCACAGCAAGGGTATAAGAAAAGTCGTGTTATGGGCGAATTCCACTTCAGTCGCTGTACGTCAACGAACCCGCAGACCACTGCCCTATCAGTATGCCGCTCGTGTCAAGGTAGTACAAAAGAAACCCTGGGGGAGGGGGGGGGAGACCAAAGCTGCAATCAACCCTAGGGTATTGATCGACGAAGTCCGTCAAGATTCAACGTGACCAACTCCATCAACGCCTTGCACTCATATCCATAAATGGGGAATCATCAACAAACAAAAGAAACTGCAAGGACAGTGCGATCGCCATTCAGGCAGACTCGGAGAGCAATACTCTCTAAAACCTCGTCTTCTGTCGGGACTTCCACTCTGCCCGGGCCACCTTCATCAATATATTCTCATCTTTAACCGGAATCCAGGACGTCAACGCCTTCATGGCATTCTCAAAGTCCGAGTCGAGAAGGACTTCGCGCAGCGCGTGTATTAGAGCTGCACTAGTGGCATGCAAGATGTCAATGCCGTTCATGGTGGTCGGAGAATCGGGCACTTTGGGAGAGTCCGAGGGGTTCTCCCCAAGCAGTAGAAAGACGTCCCAGACGCGGAGCTGGGCGGCAAAAGGGATGGAGAGGTTGAAAAGCGTCAGGTACCACCGCGTGCCATAGGCCGTGGGGTCGATACACAGCTCGTTCTTGGGAAGGATCAGTATGACATCAAGGGCTGAAAGGAGCAATTATGCTTACCAATTTCTTCGCAACGTCCTTGCCGTCTAGCCACTTAGTCTGCAGGTCGTTCAGAGCCGTCATCAGTCCATCAAAGCCGGGGCTGTAAAGCTTCTCAAGCCCTCGCAACTGCCACATGCGGACGAGCATTACAAAACATTTCTCCTCGTCAAAGTAGCAGAGGAGCGTCGCGGCCAAAGAAGCCATGCCCTGGACGTAGCCGGTGTTCGGAAAGTAGAGTGACAGCGCATGTAAAACCCGAAATAGCAAACGCTGACCGCCCTTGTAGCGCTTGCGGAACATGACGTGTCTGCTGATGGTGCGAGGAACATCGAGGTCAATCTGCACATCGTCTGGCGATCCTCTGCCCTGGAGGCGATGGAAGTCGGTAATGATGGAGTCTTCGGATGGTGAGTTCTTTTGGGTCCGGGCGTGGGTTACCATGAATGAGTACCAAGCGGAAGCTCTCCACCGGTCGGGGATGCCCTTCCACGTCCTCTCAATGAGCTTCCGATTTTTGACGTCAAACTCAAACTCCATGCCTTCGCCATCGGTTCCCTCTTTGACAACCTTGGCCATTTTCCGCCACTTCTCGGCCCTCTCCCATTCCTTCTTCTTGATGGCTTCGGATATCTTCTCAACCATCTCTTCGTCTTCCAATGACAATGAAAGCATGCCTCCAGCGACGTCCCGCCAGCGCCGATCCTGGTTGTGAGGAAGCATGTTTCCTGCATGCCTGACCGCTGATCGGGCTGATCGACGGGATGTGACGGATGCGTTGGAGTTCTGCGTGTAGAGGGATCGGGCGGACATTTTCCTACTAGGTCCCCTCGAGGGTAGCCCCAGCCCGAGCATGTCTCGTTTTGAATGGCCATTCCTTTTCCTAGGAACGTGCTGCGACGATTTGGATCCCGTGAGAGTATCGCCTCTTGATTCGGCCTTGCGTGGGCTAATGAAGCCGTACCGATCGACCTCCTGTCCTTCGAGATCCTCCCAATCTTCAAGACCGCCCGCCACCTCGTGCCCGCTGCGACTTTCGGGCCTTTGGAAATAGGAACTTCCAGATCTTGGAGTACCCCATGCATGGGGTTGGAGCTCGGCGACGCTGTAGACGAGATACGGATTAGCACACTGACCGTGAGACTAGATTAGGAAAAAAACGGAAACCATACGGATCGTTCTCAGACTCCTCCGTCAGACGTTCAGCGGTTGCATCGAGATGCTCGCCAACATCCGACGGCCTGCCTCCGTCTTCCCATTTGAGGCCTTCGCCGGATTCATAGAGCGATCTCACCTTTCGAGATTCCATCTCCACGTCCGCAGACAAGACGCGAATGCTAGGGGTTGTCATGGTGATTTGGGACGCCGACTGTGCGGTCGTCTCCGCGATCGTCTCCGCGATCGTCTCTGGGGTCGTTACTTCGGTTGTGGTCGTCTCGGTTGCGCTCATGTCGTTGGCGCCGGACCCGATGGCGCTGGGGGCAGGACTCTCAGGTTCCTCGTATTGAATGTGGAGGATTGGGGCGAAGGATGCAGGAGCGAGCGCAGGCGTGCGGGCCCTTGCCGTTTGCAAACCGTCTTGCATTGTTCCGTCAGTGGTTTGTGCGGGGAACACGCGACAACCACCAAACATGAGACTGCCTCGATTAGAGAAATCCAAGGTCGTCAGGAAATCGTCATCGAGGAGGCTGTCGGTGGGGATAGAGATTGAAATGGGGGAGAAGCACAAGGTATCCTTGCTCAGGAGGCCATGGTTGTCGGGGATATTGACAGGGGAGAGATTAGGCGAGCTCTGGGAGCCTGTAAGAGAGCCCCGCCGCTTGGGGGTTATTGGTGGCGGTGGAGGTGACAGGCCAATTAACCTTTCGTTCCACAACTCGACGGATGAATCGACCGAGTATGAACTGCTTGTAGACGCCTTTCTCTCAGTGAGTACGAGCTGCGCGAAATGATATTGATCCATGGTAGCGGCCTGTTTGTCGGTTGGAGACGTGCATCGACCGGATTGTTGTTTGCTCACGGCCAACTCAACAGTGGATTGGACAGAATCAATATCGCAGACGGAAGGTGCCACAGGCTCTTCCAATGACTTCTCAGCCAAAATGTTGGTGCCCAGGACGGCGATCTTATCGTATACTTGCGCTTCTTCCCCGCAGTCCTCCTCAGCAATGGTGGCCGAGGACGATATAGTCGGTTCCAGTCCGGAATCCCTCTTCCAGTTGTTGGCCGTCGTGTTGCGAGCAGTTACGCGGAGGCGGAATGCAGGGTGTTGACTGATGGCGGGAGGAGGAGCCACAACAACAGGACTGTAGGGCGATATCGAGAGTGAAGAAGATGTAGAAGTGGAAGTGCGACCCGTTGAGATAGAAAGGGATTTCGGGGGAGCTCGCGTAACAATAGGAATGGGAGGCTCTGCCTGGACCGTCTTCTCGTAGCGAAGAGCGATGAAGCTAGCATCGTCTTTGAAGGGCACGAGCGTAGGCCGGGACTTCAAGCGCATACTGGCGATTTTTTGGGGCGCCATGGCGCGGCGTTCAGGTGATCCGACCCGTGCGGGAGGGAGACAAATACTCCGTACCTACCAAAGCTTAGGTCGATCCGACCGTGCTTGGCGACAAGGGGTGCCACTGGTCCTAACGGTGTCAGCGCGATGAGAGTTCAGACTGCTCTGCGATGGGTGGCACGCTGTCGGGAACACAACAATTCCAAAGATGGACTGGACGGGCGTCCAGGCCGAGTTGCTCACCGTCGTGAGCGCTGAGGGTGGTGAGCCTCGGATTCAGGTGCGCCAATCTCAGGGTCTGGGGGCAAGTTAGACAGGCGCTAGACCGATAAACAACCAAGGTGAAGACCATGGAGGAAAGGAACGGCGATTCGGAAAGCGATCCGAGAAGATTAGGACGCCAGGCTAAATAGGGTAAAGTAGGTTTGTGATATTAATGTGCTTTGGTGCGTGAGATTTGTACACAGGCGAGAAGAGCGCGGTAGTGATATAAGCGTTTGACTGCGTGAGGGAGACAAGCAGAGTAAGACAAGAATGACGGGAGAATTAGGAGGGCCGAGGAGAGAGAAAGTGGGATGAATGCTGCCTGCCTCAGAGGGGGCAAAAATGAAGGGAACGCAGTCAGGGGTGAAAGAGGAGAGGGCAGTATGGCATACCTTGTGGGTGAAGTGAAGACGAATGTCTAAGTGCAAGATCCAAAAACCAGTTAGCTGAGAAGGAGGAGCCGGAGAGGAGGGCTGGGCACCCTTTCTTTTCTTTCTCTCTCTCTCTCTTCGAGACCTTCGCTCCCAAATCGCCCCTCTCTGGATATGTAGGTGTTTTCCTTCACCCCCAATCCTAAGTATCCTTGCCAGATTCGCCAGAGTAAGGAGAAGAGTGGCACAAAGTGATGAGTTTGATGGCCCTCTGTTCAGCCGCCCAGCCAGGTCAGGGCCGCATTGCAAACGCAGGAAGCGGTGCTGCAGGACCGGCAGTGGTCCAGCACCACAAGGCGGTCGGCGTGGAGTACGTGCCCTGCCTGCAGAGAACAGAAAAGGAGTACGTACCGGTACGTACAGACACGTACCGCTAGCGGCTCCCCGTTCCCATTGGCCTAGCAAGGGTCTGGGACAACCGCGTGGGTTCCTTGGTGGTTTTTTTTAACAGAGGCTTTTTATTATTTATTTTTATACGAGGGCGTCGTCTGACCATATTCACCACTATCGCCACCAACAGGTCAACATCTTAATATCCTTTGCCGTCATACTTACTTAGCCAGGCACAGAGTTCACCCCGGGCAGGTATGTGGAAGACAGCAGAAGCAACGACCACGAGAGTCCACCTGTGATCAGCCACATCGCCAATTGCCCATACAACGCAGCAAAACAAACGCTTCATGATAGGTTACTTAGCTCGGGAGCCTAGCGACCGTGTCAGCCACCGGTTCCGTAGTTCCCCAGTTCCCGCCATCTGGCCATGCATCCCTACCCAACAAAAGGGCCACTTTTTCGGTCATGGGCATTGCATGCCATCAAGTCGGTGAGCATTCTCCGTCTCTCTTTCTGACCCTTCCTTTTTTGTAGAGCTACGCAGCAGTTACCGCTACTCGGGGTCAGGGTCATCCAATATTGAGCCCGCGTTGGTGCATGATAGGCTCCGCACCGCCAGTTCCTCATGACTGCTACATCGATGGATATTGACAGCGATACAGTCCCTGTCATCGGTGGTTGGTCCATCAACGTCCTGCTTTGCTCCGATCCAATTGTACACAAATTGCCTGCAGCGCATGAAGGCAGCACAAGAACGGGCGACCGTAATATTAAGGTGACACATGTTCTAGGAGAAGAAGCAACGGGATCTATATGATCTTCTGATACCCCTCTTCCCCAATGGGGCTATCATCGTGGCTCTCCACACTAGCTGTCGCTCTTCGAGAGCGTCTTCCAGGTCCCAACTCTCCCTTCAGCATAACGGCCATCATCATTTATCGCCCGTCAGTAAAGCCGGTCCGGTGTGCTGTTCTGTATCCACGTTCACAGAGAAAAGTGAAGTATATGCATTGCAAATAAACGCCACGGGCCCCTTTCTCATCCGTATTCACTTACAACATGTATTCTTTTTCGATTTCATGACTCCTGCTGTACCAAACAAGCCAATCTACCTACGATATGCTGGCAGCCACACACGGTTGGAGGGCCTCACCAGATCGCCTCTAGCCCGGAAATCCCTTTCTCTCACCACGGCAGGGCATCTAAGCTGTCCTGCCGTTCTGTTCCAAATGTCCTTGCCCTTCCAAAGCCGCTCCACGCATTGTTGCCAGTCTGTCCATGGTATAGCTGGTTCAAGACAGCCCTCAATTAGTTCCGTTTCATCGGGGATAGCATAGAACATATACACCATGTCTCAGCCCTTTCATCTCCCAAACTCCTGTTTAGGCCTATCGGTTGAGATCTTACGTATTGGGCGATGCTTTGAGTCCAATGCAAACTCGAGATGAAAATGTCAGCAAAGCTAGAGTTAGACCGCCAAGCATATGCTTGCTTGCTCGCTCGCCATCTTTCCGATAGCTAGGTCGATCCTGGCTTAAACTTTTCATCAATAGCAACACCTCGGTCGATAGTTGCCGTCAGCTTGATTCGGCAGTCCTTTGTGATATCACCAGCTCCGAGAGATCGGCTGAAGCGAGAGGGCTAAAGACGCGAGGTGTATCTAGGTCAACTCGGCCGAACGCCATTCCCGATTTGGAAAATAAAAAGCAATCACTTTGATGAACCTCTAGGAAACGCCTTCATGGATGGTGCAACATTCCCTTACTGTGTACTTACCCGCAGCTCTTTTATTCTCCAACTGACGAATTATCGCATGAGAGCCAAATGCCATCCGTATACTAAGCAAACACGAGAGAGGAGGGAAGTGGAGAAGGAGAAGGAGAAGGAGAAGAAGAAACCTCCTCATTCATGCTGTTCTCCGCGCCTCGCGTGACACTCCCACTGTTGTCACGTCCAGAAGCACCGGCGGTATTTGCGCGGCAATCCTCTACAGCCGACCGCCTGGGGCAACTACAGGGGACAAAGATCTGACGTGGCACATTGAGCCAGCTCATTCGTCCTGGGCCGAATACCATTTCGTATTGTTATTACCAGAAATGATTGTTAAGAAAACCCCCCTGATTTGCAAAGCCCACGTCGGGCTCAGTTGGCTAAACCCCTCTTCAGGGTCCTCTCTACCCTTCACTTTTCTCCTGTCCGTGCTACTGGTCGCCTCCTAGCCTTGGAGTGTTTGCCGGTGACCACGGTCCTGTCCTTTTAACGGCTCATCTGAAGCCACGACGAGGCACGGATAGGTAGAGTGCGAGTGAAACGGCTGGTAGGGTAGAAACAAGGCGACTCGGCGTGAGCCGCAGACATAGCGACTCACCACCCCAGCATGGATGACTCTCGCTCTCTGTCAACGCGGTCCCGCTTACGCCGACTCTGACGAACAATAACACATCCTCGTCCCCTCTCCGCTTCTGCTCCTGAACGAACCGTTGCGCCAAAGCAGACGGGCTCGAGACATGGAGCCACCACATTCCAGCATGAGGCAACCATAATTGGAAACAACGAGACAAAAATCATTGGTCTATGGCTTTTATTTTATCTATACGTATTACTTTTTTCTTTCGTTCACTTGGCGCAGACCAGAGTATTCCACCTCTTTTCCTCCTGCACCCTGGCCCGGATCGGATCATCAGGCTGTTGTTCTGCTCCATCCTAACTGACATGATGTTAGGCTAATTACAAAACTTGGACCAACTGTCACGTTCTTTCTTGGTTGCTCACACGGCATCTACCGCCTGTGATTGAAGCCCTTTTTGATGAGGCCATGGAGGGCGTTCATCCACAACGCCTTTCAACTTCAGGAGTTGTGGTACTCCAATGGCCCATGCATCTGTGCGATCCACCCCCTCTCGATATTTCCCGCCGAATCAATCAATCTATCAATCGCTATGCTTGTTGGGGCTACATCGCTTCCATGCTCTGTACACTTCACAGCCATCCATTCTCTTCTCTGCTGGATTGTGCGCTTGTTGCGCCGAACGCAGTGTGCAGCGCCTAACTACAAACGCTGGAGCCCACAATCAAATATTGCATCCTTACCCACCGAGGAAGAAAAACCAAAAGAAAAAGTTAGACCTCTTCGTTCTCCCAATCTTTCTCACTAAACATGGGCCCCTTACGTGCGCCGCTAGCCTCGAGTTTTGACAAAAACTCCGGCGGCACCGTGGGAATGTACTTGCGTGCTCTTTCTCTGTTGACACCCCCGAAGCCAGCCCCGTACGAGACCAGCATATCCGTGACTGACGGCAGCGTAAATGGTAGCATCATCGCCGGATCCATCAACAAATTTTCCGGCGCGTCCTCTTCCTCGCCATCGCTCTCATTACTGCTAGGTGTCTGCGTGGCTGCCTGGCTCGTTGGCGTATCCGTGATGCTCCTGTTCGTGGGTTTCCCCCTGACTGGTGTTGATGGCGCACTGCTCTTGCGGTCCTCTTTCCTACGTACGTGTTCCGCCTGGATCGCGTTCAGATACTTGAGGGCGCTCTTGGGTAGCCCCTTTTCGCCGACCTCGGGCCTGTAATGTGACGCTGCGTGGATGAGCTGCTGTGGGCTTAGCCTCTTTAGCTGTTGCAAGGTACCAACAAGGGCCTCTAGGTCATCGGGACCGAGTGACGAGAAGCACTGAAGCCACTGCAGCAGCTGAATAACAGGGGCCAGGTGTCGCCTGGCAGCGTCCACCGTCGTCTCGCCTGACGACTTGGTCTCGCCTCCTTCGTAATGCTCCGGTTGGCGATTGTTGGTTCTAGCCCAGTCCTCCAACGTCGAGACGTTCATGCGAATCTGCATAGCTTTTGTCCGTGCAAGATATTTGCGGTTAGACATAATGCGGTTAAATAGCTCTGCGCCGAGCCAGTAAAGCAGCTGAGAGATGATTTGAGCCGTAATCACAGAGTGGATATCATAAAGGTCAAGAACGAACAAGGTAGACGACAGTAGGGAGGTGACGTTGCGCGGCGCAGGCTTCGCCCGTTGCTTCGGTGAAGGGGGCCGGAAGCGCTTTTCGAGGGGCTCTTCTTTCACCTGCGCCTTTCGTTTAAAGATCCTCCACTCGTTCTGGAATGCGATGTCTTCGAATCCAGGTATTGTCTCGTGGTCCAACATCGCCGCATCGAGCACCTTATCCAAGCGTCTCTCGGCGTCACGAACGATGAGAATAAAAATTTCGTTTATGAGCTCCGATAGTTGAGCCTGGAATTCAACCGTGGCCTCCACTAGCCCGGCGTCCTTCTTCAAATAATGCAGCAGTAGGGTGGCGTTCGATATCCAAAATGCCAGAATCGTCATGTCCCACTGGTATTGCTCCACGACATCGTTGATCTTGTCCATGGCGGATATCATGAGCTTGGCCAGTAGATCGGGGCTTGAGTGGTAATGCGCGTATCTTGCGCTAAGAAATACCATGTTCGCAGGTACAGGTTTTTGTGCCGGCGATCGTTGGGGGGTCATATTGGTGATGATGATGTCGAGAATGCGGTCGAGCTCGTGTTCCTGGAACACAAACATTTGGTCATGGAGACATCGGGTCCAGTCGAACTCGGGCTGTTCTTCTTCAAGTTCGTCGGAGTTCTGCTTGCGTCAGCATACAGAGTAGTAAACAAAGTATTTACACTGGGCCTACCTCTGGCTGGTCGTCCATGCCAACGTTGCCTAGATCAACCTCGAGATCCCGGGCGCTGTCCATCATCATTCGTCTTCGCAGCTCGTTCTCCGCCATTTCTTCCTCAAACCGATCCTGTGAGAATCCAGGGTTGTAAAAGTCGTCTGTCCCCGCATTGCCGATGTTGTATCCGCTGTCATGAAGATAGAATGTCATGTCGCTGTCTGGCGGCACAAAATCGAAGGCGGTGCGGCCGGACGATGTCTTTTGCTCTGCCGAAGCACCGTTGTCGAGGAGGACCTTGGCGATGCTTTTATGCCTATTCGTCATCGCCCACATGAGCGCGCTCCACTGGTTACGATCTTGCTTGTCAACGTCTGCGCCAGCATCGATAAGAGCCTGCACCACGCCCTCGTGGCCCTGGTTGCGGGTCAGCAAACATACGCCCAGCATTGTATTTTGCCTCTACTCACAAAGCAGCTCGCGTATATGAGGGGCGGTGTCCCATCCTCGTCCGGCGCATTGACATCAATATAGGCCTTAGCTTTCCCACCGACGATGTTGGTGACTCTCTCGACATCGCCATTGCTAGCAGCCATGTTCAACGCTCTTTGCAACATGTCTTTTTTTTCACCATCGGACAGCTTTTCGTCTGCTAGTATCGTCCCCTCGTCATCGAAGCCCGGGCCGACCCGATGAGCGGCTTGAGCGGCAATCATCTCCATGAAACGCGCGTCGCTGTTCTTGGAGCCTGTTGTAATGTCCTCATCATAGGTGCGGTCGTCTAAGCTTAAGTCCCCAAAATTGAGTGGCTTTGGAACGACAGGCGTGGTCAGGAATTGCGATTGTCCTGTGTGAGAGATTGGCTGTCGTCAGTCTGCAGTTTCCCCCTTGCGGGCTTGACAGATGGATGGGAGGGGATGCCGAGAACGAACCTTGCCAGCCATCGTACATTTCAGTCTCGGTGACCAGCTCGACGGGGCGATGACTGCGGTCGTCGAGGGATTTGGGCAAGTCATCAGGTAGTGGTCGTGGCTTCTTGCCGCCGAAGCCACCATTAGCGTCCTCGAAGTCCATAGTGGGAGGAGGGGCAACCAGGAGGCCCGGCCGGCATGAGTCGGGAGGGGGGGTACACGGGGGTGTTGTTTTATGTGACGCGAGTTCGGTGCGAGATGCGGGAAGGATGTCTGTTGCAGACGGTGCGCCGAAAGTTTCGTGGCGAGGTACTGCTGCGACGAGATCGTGGTCGAGGGCTCTGTGGGTGTGTCGTCCGTCTCTCAGGCTCCGGATCGAAAAAGTCTCGCCGCAGCTAATGTCGTGTGATGTCGAGGTGTAAAGAGGGTGTGTGTTGTCCAGTTGAAAGGACTCTCAGTGCCCGAGTCCCGCAACGGCCCACGCCGCCAACCACCAACGGGGGTGATCGGCTTGTTGATGTCACTAATAGATTGCGGCGAACGACCGTCGTCAGCGTGTGCGGGTAGCGCTGGAACTCCGTGGACCGTGCGTCCTTTAGCAATGGGACACTCCTCTAAGCCTCCCCCGAAGGAACTGTAGGTATCCGTACCACACAAGTACCTACCTAGGTAGGTACCTGAGCGGTCCTCGTGCAAGTACTCCTGTGTGATATGTCTGTCATATGTCTCTTTGACCTCCTATCGTCCCTTTTTAAGACCTCGAGGGAAGAATAAGGGTTGGATAATAAGTAAGCACTATGTCCAGCTCGTACATCGAAGTCACAACAGCTTCAAGCACTGCATGCAACAAGGCACACGCCGATGGACATGCGGGGGGTAATGGGTAATGATACAGAGGAATGGGTTTCCCCCCCTTCTTTATGCTTCATTTGGTTTAATTTCCATACCTCCCCTCCTTGTGCTTCCCCTCATTTGACGTCTACGCCCTCTTTCCAAAGACACGCAGTCTCTTGACTCCTCCGTCCGGAATTATGGTAATCTTGACGTGTGTCATAGCCTTGGTCTTGACTGCGCTCGGGAAGTCGTGCTCCTGGTCTGGGCCGCACTTGCTTGGGGCTACGACCTCCGTCCAGCCGGCAGCGTCCGCCCCAGGTTCGCCACTCTCAATCCATGAAAGGGCGTCGACCTTGACCTTTTGCGGGAAGTTGCCGCGGAAGTGCGCCGTGTCAACAACTACGTTCTGCACGTAACCTGGAGCTCCGAGGCGAACAATCGTCCAGTCGACATGGCCCTTAGTCCGCGATCTCGCCGTCTCCCAGCCATCGCCCATATCCTTGCCGCGGCCTGGCAGAAGGAGGTTGTCCTTGGTACCAAAGTGTTGGTCGCTACACGAAATGGCGACACCCCCATTCTGCGCCGCGGCTAGGTCAAAGATGGCCTCCTTGTCTTCGGGGAAGACAGGCACGGCGTGGCCGAACAAACGGAATCTCGCAATGCCTCCGTCTGGATACATGTTAAGACGGACGTGGGTATACTGCTTCTTCTTGGGCTCGGCCAGCTTCCATCCAAAACGCTGCGAGGGTCCACACTCCTCGTTGCCAAGAATGGTCTCCCACTGGCCTCTGTCTCCCTTCCATGAGACGACTTCGTCGTCATTGAGGTTGAAGCACCCCTCCACTGAAATTGAGGGAGCGTGGTTGCCGGAGAAAAAGGCCGTGTCGACCTCGACACCCTCGACAGTTCCAGAGGCGACACCAAGGCGGACAATAACCCAGTCAAAGGGTTCGGGATTGTGGCGTCTCGTCTCCCAGCCATCGTACCATGCTCCGGTGTAGACCATCTTACCCGGCTGTCTGATGGGAGGGGTGGGCGTCAACAGATTGGAGGCCTCGGCAAACCACTCATCTGAAAAGGCGAGAATCTTTCCACCCAGGGCAGCTGAGATCAAGTCTGGTCATGTCAGTAAATGTCGAGATGTGTTCTTGCCTGGACGACGGGATGGACGAGGCACACACCTATGCTGCTTGAGCGGAACGTCTTGTCGATGTCACCTGGTGCGATCCTCGTGGTGTTGACTTCTTCCAGCGCATATTCCTGTTCGCTGACCATCTTGAAGATTGGATGGCGGGGTATGGAGGGGTTGACGATGGGTAGAGTAGTGGTGAGATTGCTGCTTTCCAAGATAAGGCTTACAAAGATGTTTTGAAGTCAAATACAGCGATGGGATCCGTACAGAGTGTGGAGGGGAAATTGGATGAGTTGGGAATATCTTCCGATGAGGAGAAGGAAAAGCCACGGAGAGTCATGGCCTGCCGCCCGCGGCACGTCAAAGAGGGTGCGCGCCGAGCGGCCACTTCCGACGTCGGGCGGCCACAGCTGACGGCCGCATCCAGGGAGTTGTAGGTGCCGCCGGCGGCCAGAAGTGCGCGCGCCGTCCGCGATAAGCAAAGGTGTAATGATTCGAGCGGATTAGCTAACAACCAGACGGCGGACCAATCTAGTGCTACTTCAATGCCCCAGTTGGTTGTGTGCCGCAGTCCCTGCGCTCGTCCCCGCTGCGAACTGTTCGGGTAGGCGGGGGGCGGGCGTGGGCCAAAGCCGGACTAGAGGCTCTTTAACGATCGCACCCCGAGGGTATCCTCTGTTATGAGCACTACATAGTATCTTTGCCTTTTTTCTCGCGATGCTGAATTTGGGCCAACTCCTACGGAAGTTGCTTTATGGGTACGCCAACAAGTTGAGTTCAGAGCTTTGAGGGTGGCCTGCGGCATCAAGGCCACATATCTCAAAGACATCAATGGCCTTGTAGCAACGCCGCCCACCTGGTGATAAGAAGCATCAAAACGCCTGAACCAGCCTTGTCCCAATAGTACTATGATGTCTGTTGGGCATTAGGTGGCGGTTAATCGTCACCGCCAGACGTTGTACATTGCGGCTTAGACAATAAGAAACCAGTATGATGATCAGTGCCTTTGAAAATGGAAGCAGACGCATCAACATATCATGCCAGGTAGCATGCACTGGCGTTGGAAACCCGGCCGAGTCTGGCGGGTGTCGGATGTCAACTATTAGATATTGACCCTGTTTCGAACCCCCCTTATCTTTACCATCGGTCTCGGCTAATTGGTCTCCCATTTTTTGTCTGGTCAATTAACGTTTGGGCTTGCAACAGCTGCTACGTAGTAGGCAGAAGCCGAGCGCTCCATGCAAAATTTCACAGATGACCAAAGATGCTCCCGCAATATGTGCCGATGACGGGAGGAAGCTTGAGGATTGACGTCCTACGGCCAGAGAGATGGGATGAGGGGAGCGTGCGGAGTGTGTGAGCGAGTGTGACAGGGTGGGTAAGATCTGGTCGAGTGCCCTCCAATCTACAGCGTCCTCCACCCGACCATCGCTCTGCATGTTACTGCCCTCCCCCTGTAGCAGCTGCTTAATCAGAAATTCACAGCCTCTGATAGGTCGCAGCTCGAGACGAGCTCTCCGTCATCGATGCCGCCATCGATGACCGACCATCTAAGTGCCGTTCTATCCTTTTTCTGTTTATTTCCTCTCAAAACTTGCATATATTGCCCACAGGAGAAGCCTTAATCGCCACAACACCCCGCGAAATACCTTCTTGTTCTTGCCTTAATCGACATCGAGAGACATAAACATTATCCAACTCCGATTCCTTCGAAAAACAACACTGCGCACTGTCGCGTTTTCCACTTGAATAGACAACCAGGACAATCATCGAAACGATGTCATCGGCGGCAGGCCTGCCCGAACCCCCTCCCTCTCAGGATCGGGAACAAGGCAACGATCATGATGAGCTGGAGCCTCTGCTTGGCCGACCCGGCGATGCCCAACAACCCCCCAGCCAATTCATCGCAAGGAACCTTATTCTTGGTATGCGCCTCCCTCTTGATCTTTCAGCCTTCTTCCCTTTTGTTTTGCTGTAACTAATGTCATGAACTTCGAGGCACCGGCATCATCGCTCAGTTCGGCGCAGTAATATTCGTCGCCATGATCTGGGCCGCCGTCCTTACCAAGGATGTGATCCTTTTCTCTGGCCACCCGCTCGCCCAGAGTCTCGCCATCTTCACCCTCACCCAGTCTATCCTCTCCCTACAGCCGACACACACCCCCGACCAGAAGCGAGTTGGTCAGCGTGTCCATGCTGTCCTTAACCTGCTCGCTTTCCTTTTCCTCGTCGCCGGCATTACTATCATCGAGTATAATAAGTTTCGCCAGGGCCCTGGCTCCCACTTTCACTCCGTTCACGGCTACCTCGGCGTCATCGTTTCCGTTATCCTGCTGCTGCAGTACATCGTAGGCTTCACCATGTGGGCTACCCCATGGCTTTACGGTGGCGAGGACAAGGCCAAATCCATCTGGAAATACCACCGTTGGAGCGGCTATGTTGTCCTAGTTCTCCTGCTGGTTACGGTAGCGACGGCCGTTGGCACGCCGTTCAATGAGAACGTGCTCAAGCTGAAGCTCTGGGCTGTCGTTATCACCGCCTTCTTGATACTAGTTGGCATCGTTCCACGGGTGCAGAAACAGAAGCTGGGCTTCTCGAATTAGACTTATGAGAAGAAGATCGCTGGGATCTGCGTTGTCGGATACAATCGGGACGCGGGTTTGTCAAGATCCAGCGATTCTATACGAGCACCCAGACAGGGATATTATAGTGACTTTCGACAAGGAGCATTCTGGTCAAGCCTGAGATGTTGCGTGAGAGCTGCAACGAATCATTGCTTTTTCCCTGCCGAGGCCCGCCAAGTTGGATCATGTTTTCGTGGGGTGCCTCAGCTTGGCGTTGTTGGGCTGCTGCTGATGATTTGTCCATTTTGGGAACCTTCAAGAGACTGGTACAGGTTTTCTTTGCCCTATCGTGATAATCATGAGTTTTTGCGCGTTTCTATTCTAGTTGTTTAGGCCCAGATCTGCTTCGTCTTCAATAATGCTCGATATGGATATCCACCCCACTGGCCATAATATGGCAGAGAGTCATGCACGATTATTATTAACCTGAAGCCGCTAGACGGCTTTTCCACTGTCCATCTAAGTATTCCAGCGGTGAAGCTCTGACGTCCAAGTTTGGCCAACACAATGCCGCCTTGGAATCATATAAGACAAAAGCCCGACAACAATTCTTTGGATCATGCTTTTGACCTATCAAGCTATTGTTCGGGGCCTCTAGGTCTGCATACTTCAGCCTGAATAAGAGAAACTGGTCGACACTAAAAAGCGCTTGGGCGTATACCCCTTTGTTTCGTACCTCTCAAGAGTCTGCAACCATAAAAGTTTAGTACTACCCTACCAGGCAGGTGCTATAACGTTTCCTCTATTTACTATATATTATAGCTATTTAAGGGCCTTTTTTAATTTCAATTTTCAGAGGTAGAGAGGTTATTATAGTGCTACTATACTTTTGCCTTGCTAACAATGTCCTAGCCTTGCTGTTTACTAATACTAACATAGTTAAAAACGTTATTCTCAACGTAAGGAAGCTTCTTTTTTTCTAAATAAGAGACAATACCTAAGGTTTAGGATTTCTTAGTGATATCGTGGTGCTGGTTTCCTATTTTATTGGTATTAAGTCTGGCGAGGGATAAAAGTGGTGTTGTTGTTGTTGTTGTGAGGGGTAAGTTTGTGAGTGCGGGGTTTTTTTTTTTTTTTGGCACCTGCTTGCCTACGCTGCGGTCCAATATAGCGAAGCCATGATTCGTCTCTTCATTATCTCGTGTATAGTTTCCTTGTTGCAGCTATAGAGAACGTAAATAAGTTGCCCTTGCCCATAGAGTCCGAAACAGCGTTCCCAAGAGCCGCTCAAGGAACGGAGCATACATTCAGACACATTTCGAATAGTATTAGCAAAAGGATATGAGCATGTATCAATTCTTCTGTCATCTAATCTTTATATACATTAGCCGCGCCTCCGGGGTATACTATCCGCTACTACGTTCGAATATCAAAGTACGCTGTACAGGCATAAACAGACGTCTCTACCGCTCCTTCAAAACATTGTGTATCGGCACTAGTCCAATAACACTGCTCTACCCAACCTCATCAATATGGCCGAAAGACCTGTCATCGTTTATCGCTAGGTCAAACGCGTGACGCGGGCGCCTGTCTTGAGCATTACCAACTCCTGCATTCGAGAAATCGAAATTATAACAATCCGCCATGCGTGTCTCATGTCTTGGCATTGAAAACTCGTTCCCGTCGTTCAGCCGCTTGACAGGCCGTTGGCCGGCGAAAGAGTGTAAGAAATAAAATGTTGCAATACGAGAACCGAGTGCCCCCAACCTGATTATGGCGTGTCCGTATCGTTTCGTCGTGGGCTCAGCGCAAGTAGCCAGGTTTTCCGGACCGCAAGTATTATTATCGATACCAAATTTTCGGTGCCGCCCGGTTTTGGCTTCCTCCAATGCTACATTATAGCACTGCAAACATTGCTCAGAGCCCCAAAGCCCATAAGCAAACTAGCCGTTGGCGAAGGCATGGCGGCATGGCCTCCGATATTATTAGTTTAGCAACGACAGCAAATCACCACAAGCTCATGCTCATCCTCGTCGTCAAAATGCTTGTTGAATCTGGTCATGTAGGAGTTTGGGTGACTCTTTCCTCTGTTACTTTCCGCAAAAATATGACTTCGACTCTAGGGGAAGTTGTTTCCAACAGGCATGGGCCAATCATCCTCGGTGATGCTCGACCAGAATACCCACACTGCAACAACAGCGAGTAGAGTGAAAAAGGTCTCGAAGAGGGCGCCGTCGACTGCACCGTTGGTTCCATTGCAGATTTGAGAGCTTACAACGTAGTTGAAGATTTGTCCGATAGCGAAAAGGAGTAGAGCGGCAGTGAGATACAGCATTGGGCGCATTTCGCCCAACACACGGATGACCAAAACGGCCTCGAGGACGAAGAAGGCGACAAGGAAGATTAGAGGCGCCAGCTGATACAAGACGTAAAGTAGGATGTGACGGTTGGGCTGCTGGTAAGACGAGTTCCAATGGCCGGTCCATTGGAAACCAGTGTCAAGGGTAATGTAGAGCGTACCACCGAGTAGGATAGCGGCAGACGCCATGATTAAACCCATTGACAGCGGTGTTCCATCATCGACGATTTGGTACCCCACGACGGCGTTGAGCATCAGTATCCATGTTGACGCAACGATCATGCCAATGTGGATTCCAGTGAAGGCCTAGACGTCTGTCAGCTTGGTTGGGCTCGAAGGCACCCGAGGCGGGTACTCACAATGCGAACGTTTCCGGCCAGCGGGAAGTCCCCGACAGTAAAGATTTCGCATAATTCGACAACGATGAAGCTAGCAAGGAACAGTTGCATTTCTCTGCACAACAAGTTAGCATGCTGGGCGAGCGCTTCCCTAAGCGACGTCACAATCTTACCTTCGACCTACCGCAGCCTTCTTGCGCTCTGACCGCAGCAATAGGTAGATGGATGCGATGATAGCAAAAGCAGCAATAAGGATGGAACCAAGGTTGCCCAGCTTGCGGCCTCCACCAAGGGAAATTCCCGCCAACTCACAACCTCCCCATGGCCCTGATTGACTGTGACTGTTGGAGAGTACCTGGGACCGGGCGAGTTAGTGCCGTTTACAAAGGGCTTTCCGAGGCAAGCTACGGCATCTTGAGAAACGAATTGAACGTACATTGCACACCGGTAGCGTCGAGTCTCGACAAAAGTTCTAAAGGCAATTAGCATAATGATAGGCGTGGATTGGCAAGGTGGGCATGTCTTACAAAGAAATTGCCAAATTGCGTCGACCCCATTGTGGCAGACGTTTTGCGGCGTGGCTGATTACCAAACACCGTCGGTTGAGTTTCTTTTCCTACGGGCCCAACGTTGCCAGCCAGTTGGTATCGCGGGGAAGCACAATGGCCTGGGAGTCTCGGCGGCCACAAATGACGGTTGTGAAGGATGTGAATTATGTTGGGGTAGTTTCGTAGATTTGAACGTGCGGCGGCGCGGTCGCGAAAATGTCGCAATGGCACAGCTAGTGATTATATTCAAATCCTTCGTTGTTTGTATTGCGGGCTGGCAGGTGCTTGCAAGGCCGGAAAGTTGTGATGATAGGATTACTAGTCAAGTGGTGTTGTCGGGTGGCTGGTCGAGAGTACGAGCGGGTCCTTGTTTCGAAGCCTTGTATTCTTCCCCCCGTCGCGACGCGACTTTCCTTTCGGTTGTGGTCTCGAGGCAGCTGTTTGTCTGTTTCTGGCAGACGCTCCTCGTGATATCCTCGTAACCAGCTCTAACCTGTCGGTGTGGTCGTCGTGCGTGAATGCGCAATCGGAACAATGGTGCGACCTCGGTTCGAGAAGGGGAGTCGTGGTTACCTTTCAGGGGCGAGGAGGATAGTGAGCAAGCAACAGCTGTGTGAGCAGGAGCGATGTGACGAAAAAGGCGTGGAAGGTGTCGGAGGCGGCGCAGTGGGCAGTGGAACAATATAAGCCAAGTTGGTACCTACCTAGGGAGTGGAGGCTTTTAGTCCATTGGAGGTTCTGTGCCGTTCTCTTCCAGCAATAACGCCGAGGGGGAGGATGAGAATGCTAAGCCAGGAACAAGGTATCCCGTACTGGAGGTACATTACTAGTGTAGTGGGAGGTGTTTGTCGGGGGACCATCATCCATACCACCTTCCATGCCACCATCCATGCCACCATCCATGCCACTATCCATGCCACCATCCTCGCTCGTAGCTTGCCTTGGAAGCAAAGACGGCCGGGGGGAGGAAGCGCAGACAGCCACCCAGCACGTCAAGGTGAGATAGTGGGCGATACGCACCCCGTACCTACCTACTATGTAGGTAGGTAGGTAGTGCAGAGCACAACGCAAAGATAGCGTGCTGGGGCGACAGGGCTAGGTGGTAGGCTAGGCGCATCAAACTGGCAAGACAGGCAGGCATTGGAAGTGTGGGATAAAAAAGAGAGACGATACGTACCGCTGAAATGAAACATCTCCTCCGCTGAATGGCCCTAAGCCAATTGGCGCTCCCGCAATGCGCCTATAGGCTCCATGATTGGACGAAGCAACTTTTTGGGACGAAATGGGTTCCAAGCGCATCGCGAACAATTGGCGGGTTCTTGAAAAGTGGAATTTGGTGGTCCCGGTCCTCCCTGCCTCCATTTTCAAGCCGCCCTCAGCTTTCGTATCTGCTTGGTGTACATTGGAAAAGCATGTGCAACACTCACGCAATTGCGCATCTTGCCTCTGTCCTTCTCCCTTATTCTTGACGGGAGGCCAGGGGTTAGGGAGCAGAGATCAGAGGGCAGAAGGCAGGCCGTGACGGGAAGCTTCGCGACAGAAGGGCACCTGGCCATTTAGAGTGTTGAGAGGACAGTGCTCGTCCGTCCGATGTTGCGAATGGGGATCGCCTCTGCCACGTCGAGCTGTACATTTACACCGATATTAGGTTAGTACAAATAGGTGTGTGGCGTCCGACCTTATTCGGTTAGGTCTTTCCTGGGGCCGCCAGGCCGCTTATGAACAATCAATGTTTTTCTTGTTTGCCAATGTAAGGCCTCCCGAAAACCTGGGGAGGCGTGGCGTCGGTCAATGTCGATATTAATGCAGCAGGCAGCAGCCGATCGAGCAGGCGCCAGCATAGTGCTGAAAACATCGGCAGAGAAAAGGAGGCACGGAGCTGAGATATAAGAATAAGCAAGTGCCCCTCTGGGGCCATTGAAAGGCCGGGTCTTGGTAACAACTCAGTAATTTGACTACTTTCATGCAAACACGCGTCGGGAAATAGCTCCCTCTGTCCGTCGCATCTCCTCCCTTCCGGACACCACCAACACCACCACACTGCCTGCCAATGCCACCGTCTCCTTACCCGGGCCCTGTCCTCATTCCCTCTCCATAGCCCGATAAGTCATGACCCTTTTGCGACCCCCGTGATCGTCGCCTGCCTGTCTTTTTCGATCTTGAAGCCTGCCCCCCCGCCCCCCCCCCCCCCCCCCCGGCGCTTCATCTCAGAAGTGACTTGGCCGTTGTGTCATTCATTTACCTACCTACCTACTACCTAGGTACCTTGGTACTCTTGTACGAAGACAGCGCATGCTGTTATCGTCGGGCTCACTGCACCTCCAATACATGTCCTCGGTCGAGACAGAGATCGACATATCCTCCCCTAAGCCAGTCTCAGACCACTCCGCTTCGAATGGAGCTTACCTTACGTCAAAGCCAAGAGCAAGTGGAGAGAGGGCCGGAGACACATTGTTGGCATCCACTCTGTTCCACGCATGTGGCACCCTCCAGCCTGTGCTTTACTATGCATTGCTTTGCTTTGCAACATCATGGACACGGCCTCGGCCTCAACTGACACAGATGCAAGACCTAACATGGTCACCTCGGCCAACGTCTTGGCAGCCGTGTGGCATGGCAAAGCCACTGATGGGCACCGGATGCTTCACCGGGGCATGAATCTACGAGGAACGCTTCGTCTATCGTACTCCGTACACCGCATGGACCAACACTTTGTCATGCCCAACGACCCGCAAATGCCCTCAGGGATACCTTTCCATGACCTCATCCCCGCTTAGTCCTTGGCTCCGCTCCAATACTCGCGCTAGGATATATTGATTTTGCACCAGGGGATCAAGGACGGAAAGCAGCTCGAGAGCAATCCGAGCCGAGCAATGGACAAGGTACCTACCTGGCTGCCAGCCTCCAACAATAACGGGCACCTGAAAAAAGAAAAAAAAAGAGAGAAAGAAAAGAGTGGAGAAAAGAACCTGCCTAACCAGTGCCCTGATTGATCTTCCAGCCCTCCTTAGCCACGAAACTACGGAGTACATACGGAGTACGGATAGTAGACACACCAATCCTCTGCCTCATGGCGGCAACCCCCCTGCTCGACCTTGGGTTCAAGACACGTGTAGACCGCATATTGCATCTCTCCGTGTCTACCAAACGCCTTCAACGCCTGTTAGTCACCAGCCAACACTCTGCCAGCAGACTGAGCACCGTTTGTCAAGGCTTAGAAGAATCTTGCATGCGGCCGGCATGGACGGAACCAACCCCAACCCGGTGGGTCTCTCCGCGGGCTGCGCTTAAACTAGGCACTTTCATCCTTTACTGCTTCCTTTTATCGTTCCTTATATTGTTCCTTTTCTTTTTCCCCCCTCCCCCCTTTTTCTTTCGGCTTTGCGCGTATAACTGGTACGCAACCGCAAGCCAGATTCTGCTCGTCAATGTGTTGTATCTAACCACTGTCTGTCCTCCAAACTCACTCAGATACAATCCCCAACCAAGGTAGCCTTAGATTGGTTCGTCGCCGACCAGTCCCGTCCAACATGCCCCGTCGTCTCGGCAACTATGTTCTTGGGGTTTCTCGTTACTTCCATTGGCCACTTGTCAAAGGCCTCCCTGCAATTGCCATTTGTCGGTCACTGTGGCTGTCCGTTCTTCGTCACCAAGCCATCTTGTGCCGGCATCTGCCCTTTGGTTCCCCGAGGTTCTATCCTGCCCATTCTGTCGACCAAAAAACTCTGTATCCTAGGAAAGCCTTATTGTGACCGCGTTGCGGTGCATTTGTCCCGCTCGCTCTTAGACTCACATCTTGTTTAGCTGCTTCCATTCAAGGAGGAGGGTCTCCCTGTTTGATTGAACGGGCGCCGCTTGCCGGATGTTGCAGCATAACGCATCACCTCTTGGCTCAATTCCGCCAACTCAAGAGGTGTAGAAATGTTTTCGTAACCAGATACGGATGGACCGGGATGTGATGGAGGGCTGCTCAACTGTTGGTGTGCCTCGTCAGTGTGCCCCGCTGCATTGCAGTCCCCTTTCTGAGCGCTTCCCAAGCGCTTCCCGAGCGCAAAGCAAAAGGCCTGCGTCTGAACACCCTGGCCGTGCTTTATAGTGTAGAGCTGTCAAACCTTACAAGAAACAGGCTACAGGTGACGGGAACAAGGTACCTACACCCACACAGCCCACGGACACAACGCACATCGCGCCACTCTCGACGATGGTGGTTCATCCAGGTGTGGCAGTGCGTCTAGAGTTGGAACAACGGCATCCAATCCGTCCGGTGCACATTTGCAATGGCCAGTCCGCCTATCGACTTGGGCCTGGCAGGAGCCGGGGTTTTGGCTTCTTCTTAAGGAGGGGCGAGTGCCATGCGTGTTTGGCAATAGTTGAGACATCATCTATACAACCAACCATCGCTTTCCGATAGTGAAATGGGGTTCTGGGACACTCGCTAACGTCTAGGTCAACGCGCCAAGCCAAGACCATCACACAGCCCGCACCGTAGAGCGTGATTCTCGCTTACGCCGCTTTCCCCTCGTTGGCCTCTGCGTCTGTAGTGTAGTTTAGATTTGTCCCCGCAGGCGTGGGGAGTGGGATCCCTCTCGGCGATCATTGGAAAGTGGACTGGACACTTCCACAGCCTAATATCGAAACGTCTGGAGCAGGGTCTTTTGGATTTCAGTGATTGAAGACTCCTGGCGGGGATAACTTGGTCGTTACCAGGAGAAAATGTGTCCATCATGTCGGCCTGAGTGGCTGACAGTCAACAGACATGAAGATAACGACGAGGCTTCTCTAGCAACATGCATCAGACACCGGGCATCTGCCATTGACGATAGCAGACCTCGTTCCAGTATCGCAGCCCACCAGTCGGCTACGGGAGATTGAGCTGTTTTCAATTGATCTGTATAGCTTTTAGTTTGGCTTACCAGCCTTGCGATGGCTATGAAGGAACTAGGCAGTCATTATGAATACCACGCCTCTTGGGTTCCATTTAGATGGCTTGAATCAACCCGCTCAGGGCACAAGTCAAGCAATCAGAAGACACATGCTCTTCAAGTATTGTTCTAAGGAAACAATTCTTCGATCCACGTGCGCAAATATGTTTACGACAGTAAATCCACCACTGCTGCTCTTAAGTCTTCATCTTTTTCAGCAAAAGACCTGTAGGGTTGTCAGATACGTACCGACACGCAGCCCATTTGGTATGATTATATCTGCTAGCTTCAGCGTGGTATACAACCAGAATTCAAGCTGGGTAGCAATGAGAAGGATGAGAGCTCACGTTTGCATACAGAGTTCTTGGTCGGTGGCTACTCAGCCTTGCGTCCCCGGCTTTTTTGTGCTTTGTGAGAGGCCGGGTGCACGTTCAAGCATCTCCCTCATTCTTCCTTGTGATTTCGTGCCGAACAAAAAAAATATAGACGGCAGCAACTTATCGCCAAAGTGATAATGATTCCGAAGATAGTGGACCTGGGGCTGTTGTTGCGTTTTGCGCAGACGCCACCCGGCCTGAGGCTTCCCGCATGGAGTAGTACCGCCTTGCCAAATTTGGCACGTTGGGTACGGGCACTTCACTAGTAGGGCCCGCTTATATGCAGCCGCGAGTGGGTGCCCGACCAACGTCCCAGCTAAACATCGGCCAACACCGCAGGAGCAGGGGAGAAGTGCGCCGCTGCCAGGTTGCCAAACAGCGTGTTGGCGACTGGTTGCTCCGCAACAGAAACAAAACAAGCGCCCGGGATTGTCGATTGACAGGGGCTTGTCCCAGCGACCGCCCTGAACAACATCTCACCGCACCACGTCACATCCACACACCCCGTCCAGTATCTCTCGTCCCGCATCGACGCCCACATGAGCATTCACCTCCCCCGGGTAACAAACATTCAGACCCGGCTCTTAAGACTGCCCCCTCATATTACCGTCACCGACTTCCGTCTCTACTATCCTGGGTTAAACATTCCCGAACGACCTAGACTTGACACTACTTTATCCTGTGTCGTTGCTTCGATACCTATTCTCTTTCGCCCATTCTCTACAAAACTCTCCCGCCGGACTGTCTGTTCTTAGTTGTCGCCGTATATGCCATCTTCCTTCGACGAGGCAGTGCAGCGCATCAGTACGTCTACCACTTGTATCCATCCCGTCAAGACCAGGATCACGACCAGACCGCCAAGAGGATTAAGCTGTGTTGCATTGGCTTACATTTTCCCTCGATAGCCGCATTCCACGGCTTCTTAGCGTGAGCTCATCACCACCTGCAGGATCTCAAGTCCGTTCCAGTCACTGAATCATCCCCTTGAAGAACAATGGCTCCCGTGGAGCGCGAAGCTTCGAGAGATGCGGATCGCCCGCTGAGACATCAACATTCAATGTCCTCCGACCAAGGCAGAGCCCTAGTGCCTATGTAAGTGCTCAGAAGTACAAAACGTCTTCCAACATCAACCATTTTCTAGACGTTTCTCCATGATGCGCTGGTCATGTCTGTTATTTGGCGTCGACTAATGAAGACCAGGTGGGATAGCTCAGATCCGGACAGGGCGCCGCCGCCCTTGCCTTTGAATCCGCAATCACCCGTCACGACCTCTAGAAAGGGGACCTCTGTTGCCATTCAGTCTGCTCATGCGGCCTTGACCGAAAGAGCGCGCGAAAGCGCCATGACCCCCGGCCCGTTGACGAAGCGCAACAACGACATCTCGCCAGAGCGCTCTCTCATCAAAGGGTCCCACCACAAGCGTATGCAGTCGCTGCAGCCAGGAAGCGTCAGAGACCTCGGCTTGCTTTTGGAGAGTGGTCAGCAGTCCAACCCACCATCCCCTACCAAATCTCCCGAGCGGCCGGCCCGACCCTCCACTCCAGGCGCCAACAGAAGGAATAGCTTCGCCGACTCGAGGAGAGACAGCTTTGCAGAGAGCAGAAGGGATAGCTTCGCCGATTCGAGGTCAACTGAGAGGGAAGCCACAACACCATCCTCAGTCACGAGTCAAACGCCCGCCGTGCGCCCGACGATCAAGAGACAGCAACAGAGTATTTTGGGCGAGAACCCGCCTCCACAGTCTGCGACCATGCTTGCCATCCAGAACATGCCGCTTCAGGGTCAGCAGGAAAAGGAGAACATACATGCCCATGTCACCAACGGCTCCAACAATGCCCTCGTGAGAGCTCCTCAACAGGTCGAAGCTCTTTCGGGGCAGATCTTAAGTCTTACCAACATTGCAACAGCTTTGCAAAAGGACATGGCTCAACTGAGTCGACGAAGCCGGGACAATGCAACCGACTTGCTTAGCCTGAAGGAGGCAACTAAAGCCCGGGACGAGGACATTCGCAAAAGTCTGCGTGAACTCATCAACAATGCTCAGGATGCCGCCGCAAACAGCAGACCAGGCTCGAGAGATCCCTTCGCCAACAGCTTGTTCCTCGACACCAAGCCTCACCACACATCGCCTCCCCCAAGTAAGGCCGCTCGCCCCTTCTCTTTGCCTAGGATCCCGTCGCCCAACAGCTTCGCGGCATCAATCGATCGAGACAACTTAAGCACACCCTCGCTGTGCAACTCAGAATCTCCTGCCACAATAGCGATCCTTGACAGAATTATAAGGGACATGAGCACAAAGGAGGGACAAGATCTTCTTCTCGCTCGTTTAACAGACGTTGCCGAGAAGCTGGCTGGTGTTGCCCCGGCCTCAAAAGTGGATGAGGTGATCCAGATCGTCAAGGCAAAATCCGACGAAGCTATGCTGGCTCGAGGTGTTGGTGGCAACGGGGGTGGCAACGGCAGCCGTCCTCATGCAGCCGGCTTCGATGACGATTCTAATAGCATGGATTTCGACTTTGACCCCGGATACGCCAGTCAGCTGACACATCGATCTGAGAGAGCACTGCACAACGAGCCTTTATCACGATCGGCGTGCCACTCTGCCAATGCCTCCGAGCTTGTCAGCGACGAAGTACTCAAAATCATCCGCGCCGTCAAGGACAGTGTCGCCCAAGGGGGTGGCCTAACTGCAGAGGTGAAAGCGCTCGTCCGTGAGCTTCGCGGGGAGGTCTTGGGCATGGGACGGGAGATTGGCAGAAGACTGGACGAAGTGAACGCAGAGTCCTTATCCACCGGGCCACCAGCCGACAATCAAGAGATGTCAAGGATTGTCCACGAGGGCCTTGACCAGATGAGAGAACACATGGACGAACTTCTTCGTGAACACCGACGCCAGTCTGCTGCCTCCTCCCTGTCAAGAGCAACTGCTGTCGACTACCAAGAAATTTACAATGCTATGAGAGCGGCACTCCGAGACTCGCAGGCCTCACAACAAAAAGAACCAGACCTTAATCGGGAGGATGTAATTGAAGCTGTAAGAGATGCCTGGGAGAACTACAAACCGGAAGTCGGAAACCACGACCCGGGACTCGGACGGGAGGAGATCTTGGAATATCTCAAAGAAGGCTTGCAAGATTATGTTGACCGGGACGAACAGCCCATCGGAGCCTCCAGAGAGGAGGTGTTCCAGGCGGTGGTCGAAGGCCTCAAGCACTTCTCACCACCACGCGTGGACACCCCAGCCAGTCTCTCCCGAGACGAGATTCTTGAGGCCGTTCGCGAATGTTTGGAGGAGTTTGAGTTCCCTGTTGCCCCATCGGCATTCACCCAGGAGCTTACCAAGGAAGACATGCTCCACGCAGTCAAGGAGGGACTCAGCGAATACGACCTACCCACCACCGGAACTCTTGTCTCTCGCCAGAACAATAACGAAGAGATAGTCTCTCGATTGCAAGACATTCTCGATTGTATGCGTGGCGAATTTCGTGCCGTGACAGAGGACGCAAAGCAAAATGCTGCAGTCAACGGCCGTGATACAGAACACATCATTGATGCCACGAGGAATGGCCTCGAGAAGCTACGTGCCGACATCCAGGAATATATCAGTCATTTAAGCTGCAGTGCCGGACAGGAAGAAGTCACAGAAACGTTACTAGGTACTCTGGACACCTTCCGGGACGAGATGGCCTTGCTGGTTGATCGCGTCACGAGCGATTCGAGGTCGACAATTGAGAGTCACATGGAGTCACTTCGGGATACGGTCAACTCCTCGATGGTGCCAGTCACTCCACAAGTCAACCAGAAAGAGATCATTGAGGCTTTCAGAGACGGCATCGACAGCGTGCGTGCCGAGTTGCGCCGGCCCTTTGCTGGAGTAACGGACATCCTGGACGCCCTTCACGATGGTCTGGCAGACTTGCGCATCAGCATTGATAAGGTTGCCAACCGGCCAGCCGATCTAACTGCCAACGATGAGATTTTGGATGCGCTGAAGTCCGGGCTCGACAACGTTCGCTCTGAGATTGACAGCCTCCGTGAACAACAAGGTCAAAACGACAAGGCCTTGACAACAAGGCACGCAGGTGCCGTTGTCCCGACAGACGGTCTCAAACAGGACGACATCAAGAACCTTGAAGTGCTTATCACCCAACTGCGCATCAAGATCGAGGCCATGGAGCCTGCGAACGTTGATTCTGTCGCAAAGGATGATCTGATACGCATGGAGGATATGCTACGCTCCCTGCAGGAGTCTGCGTCCAAGGACGATATCCTTCGCCTCGAGGACATGCTCCGCCTCGTGCAAGAATCGGTCTCCAAGGACGAGACCTCCCGCATCGAGGAGGTTCTGCTCAACGCTAAGGACTCGGTGTCCAAGGAGGACGTAGTGCGCTTGGAGGAGACAATATTGTATATCCACGAGTGGGTCAAGTCCAAGGAGAGTCCTGCCAGTACCGACACTGCAACCAAAGAGGACGTCCAAGCTATCGAGACAATTCTGCGTAACACCAAGGGCCGGCTGGATGACCTCATTGATAACGAGCAAGCTGTACGCAAAGAGCACCTTGACAGCCTCGAGAACACCATTCTGGAGACCAGGGAGACTATTAACCTCATCACTACCCAGATGGACGGCCTTCCAAAGAAGGATGATGTGACTTCCGTCGAGGCGCTGGTGGCACAGGTCGCTGCAAGCTTCGATGAAATGAAGGAGAGCGCCGCCAAACAGCTTGAAGATCCTGAGCGTGTCACCAAGACTGACGTTGAGGCTGTCGAAGCCGTGTGTCTCGATATCAAGAACGTGTTCGACCAAATGCTCAAGACTGATCTGGCCACACTTGTCAGCAAGGAAGACCTGAAGAAGACAGAAGTGGCCTTGGAGGAACTCAAAGGCCCTCTGGCGGGACTACAGGACGGACTCCAGGAGAGCCTGAAGGCCCCATTGGACGAGCTAAGGACTGAGTTGAAAACCCCTTTAGAAGACCTTAAGACTCCCCTCGAGGAGCTCAAGGCCCGACTCGACGCCCTGACCGAGGCACACTCCCAAGGGGGTGAAGAACGCCAAGCTGAGATCGTTGGCGTCAGTGAGCGGGTCACGGAGGTCAAAACCTTCCTCGAAGAGTTCCAAGGCTTGGTCAAAGGCAAACTCGAAGACGGTGTTAGTAGCATCGAGTCGCTCGCAAAGCTTTTCGAAGGCGTCTCGATTTTCGTGGAGAGTAACGCCACTATTGGCCAGGAGCTGAAGGATCTCTCTGACTTGATGAAGGTGGAATTCGAAGAGTCCAAGGCCGGTGTGGTAGGTGCCAAGTTGGAGTCGGACGAAAAGTTCCAGCAGACTACCGAAACCCTAGTCGCCAAAATCGACGAGAAGGTAGCGGAGCTGATGACCAAATACGACGAGTTCCATGTGGCCCTTGACGACCGCGCCAAGGCTGGAGAGGCCCGGGATGCTAGCACTGAGGAGGCAGTGCTGGGCACCAAGGCGGTTGCCGAAGAACTCAAGTCTCTCGTCGATACCCTTGGTGCTGCTGTCACCGATTCTATGGAAAAGATGGAGGAGGCGTCCAAGACTGTTTTCACCAAGGTCGAGGACCTCATGACCAAATCAGAGGAGAACCACACAGACGGCAAGGCTGAGCACCAGCAGACTCGGGATTACTTAAAGCAAGCCGTAGAGGGCCTTCAAGGGCAGTTCGGAGAAGCCCAACCCCAGATCCTTGAGTCCGTGAAGGATATTTTGATGGTCGTCGGCCAGCACTACGAATACGCCAAAGCTTCTACGAACGATATTCAGAAAACGATCGAAGATGCCAAGACAACCGAGCTGGCACTCCCACCAATCCCCGAAAAATATGACGACACGATAGTCCTCGAGAAGCTCGATAGGCTTGTCGAACAGACTGCAGTCCCGGCTGAGAAGTATGATGACGCGGTTGTTCAGGAGAAGCTGGATAGAATAGTCGAGCATGTCTCAGCACCTGCAGAAAAGTACGACGATACTGGCGTCCACGAGAAGCTCGATCAACTTGTAGCGCACGCCCAAGCACCTGCTGAGAAGTACGACGACGCACCTGTGCACGAGAAACTCGACAAGTTGGTCGAGCATGTTATGGTCCCTGTTGAAAAGTATAATGATGCGGCGGTGCAGGAGAAGCTGGATAAGCTTGCTGAGCGACAGGCGCTGCTTCCAGTCGACAAGTACGACGACGCTGTGGTTCAAGAGAAGCTTGACAAGCTTGCCGAACAACAAGCTTTAATCCCGACCGAGAAATACGACGACACAATGATTCAGGAGAAGCTTGATATGATTGCCGAACAGCAGTCGTTGATTCCAACGGAGAAGTACGACGATGCTGTGGTTCAAGAGAAGTTGGACAGGCTCGCTGAACAGCAGTCGTTAATTCCGACAGAGAAGTACGACGATGCCGTGCTCCGCGAGAAACTGGACCAACTTTCCCAACAGCAGTCTCTTTTCCTGACCGAGAAATATGACGACGCAGTTGTTCGAGAAATGCTGAACAAGCTTGCGGAGCAACAGGCGATGATCCCTACCGAAGCGTATGACGATACCGCTGTACACGGAAAGCTGGACGAGTTGGTCGGCCACACTTACGCTGCCGAGAAAGCATTTTCCCAACTTGAGACGCTCGAGAAGGTCCATCAACAAGTCATCCAGACAGCCGCGGACATCTCGCTTTTCCTCTCTACCCAGACCAAGAAGATCAGGGAAGAGGAGGACGATCGAGAGAAGTTTCTTCAAGAAGTCACCCTTGACCTAGAACGGAAATTGACTCTCAAGGAGCAGATCCAGTCCAATCTGCTGGATCTCAAGCAGGAGGAAGAGAGGCTGAGAGCTTCCGTGCTCGGACTGCGTACAGAGCAAGAAAGTCTCATTCGCCAGAAGACAAGGCTGACAGCTGACGTCTCGGCCCTCGAGACCGCACTGCATATTCGCAGGGATGAACTCCACGATATGGAAACCCGTGCTGAAGGATTGGAGCGCCGCATCTTGGAAGGTGTGATGGACCATTCTCGAGTCCTTTTGATGTCAAAAGCAACAAAGGGCCGTGACGCTATGAGCCGTAAACGCGTCCGAGACCAAAAGCTGGGCCAAGAGAATGATTCACATGGGAAGCCTGCACCACCTGCCGTCAACTTGGTACTCTCCGCGAAACGGAACTCAAAGCCGCCGGTGCAGACAGGCACCGCACGCCGCATCTTGTCCCTTAGCCAGATCACGAACAATGTCCCAAGCGGCGGTGTCCAGCGCAGCCAGAGCGTAAGGACTGCTGGGGCCAGGGGCCAACGAAAGTCTAGCTGGGCGGGCGGCTTTTCTAAGGGTTATGGGGAGCTTAACAAGGAAAACATGTCATTGAAGGAGACTGAGGAGGAGAACATGCCGAGTCCCGCCCTCGCGCCCTGCGAGGACCCGATAGACGTAACAGAGTCTCTGGCGGATGGCGACGAACCAAGCGACACTGAGACTTTGCGCCGCAGCAGTCACGGCAGCCGGATCAGCCGCGGTAGTCGTGGCACGACGGTTGTCACGGAGAGCACCGACAATTACACCGGCGATGGAGACCATTCAGACTATTATGACGACAATCAGAGCGACTTGCAAAGTGACCTCCAGAGTGAGTGGGCAGACAGTGCCGTTAGCTCTAATCTGAGCTCAGACCTTGGCTCGAATCTCAGCCAGGAAACTCACAACAACGAGGTTGTAGTTTACGGGGAGACGGCCTAAAGTGGCGAATATAATGGCCCAAAAGTCTTTTTTCTTTAATATGAGATATTAACGAGTACTGAATAACGTACGTGTTTCCTTGCTCTGGCGTCAGTTGGTGTTCGGGGCAAATTGTGCCCCCCCAAAAAAAATGTATATGAATATGTTTCCTCCCCTCACCTTTGTAATTGGTATCGTTAGGATGAACCCAGTCAATGTTTCAAGATTGTAGATAGTGTGTCGCTGGTACTACTAGTGAAAAAATGCAGGAGTCACAACCGTTGCCGTACTTTGCGGTAGTGAAAGTATATTGCATGCCCTATTTGAGACACGCCAGATATACTTGGCGGTGAAATGGATGAAGCTGTTGGTACAAGATACAGGACCCGTCATGGGTCAGGCGTAATAGCCGTGAGCCGTCGTTACGAAATGGGTTTCTTGAAGATCTTCTTTTTTCCGTCCATCCACGGTCGCAAACAAGTCGGAATAGAAACAGACATCTCCTTCTCGTTCCACCCGGCTTCTAGGATTGCAGCCAGCACCCTTGGCACAGCGAGTGCGGTACCATTGACAGTCCAGGGGAACGTGAGCTTGCCGTCAATCTTGGCCCGCGTAGCGAGCCGCCGCGTCTGATAGTCAGTACAGATGCTGGCCGAAGTAACCTCGCCCCAGCCGCCGTTTTGCTGCTGGCGAGAGGGGAAGAACGCCTCTATGTCGCACTTACGCACCGCCGAAGCGCCAAGATCGGCAGAAGGCATCTCGAGGACGCGGCAGTGTAGGCCCAGAGAGCCTAGGATCTCAGTCTGGATGTCGACCATCTCTTGAAAAATTTCAATCGTCTCGTCGGCTTCTGGCAGCGTCCAGGCAAACATCTCAACCTTAGTGAACTCGTGGACGCGGTACAGGCCCTTTGTGCTCGCGCCGCGGGCGCCGGCCTCAGCGCGGTAACAGCGCGAGACGGCGACGCGCTTCATAGGAAGCTCGGAGGCGTCGAGAGTCGACTCGGCCCTCATGCCAGCCAGAGGTATCTCCGAGGTGCCGGCCAGACAGAGCTCCGGCTTGCCGCGTTCTGCGTCGGCTTCGGATTGTGCGAGGCTGTAGACCTGCTGCTCACCGTTCTGGTCTCGAGGTTGGAACCCACAAGCTGAGGCTATGTGACTGTATACAATGCTGGGCGGGGCAACCTGACGCCAGCGATGTCTCGTGGCTACGGCAAGGGCGTACTGAACGAGGGCCTGCTCCAGCTGGGCGGCCTCATCGAGGAGGTAGTACCAGCCCCAGCCCGAGGTATTGCCAGCGGCGGCAAAGTCGAGCAGGCCCAGCTCCGAGCCGATGTGGACGTGTGACCGCCACACTTTGTCCGATGAACTCGGGGCCTCGGCTGGGTGCTCGTTGATGTAGCTTAGAACATGCGGTTCGTCGCCGACGGGCGTGGCTTCGCTGGTGAGATTGGGAACGGCCAGGGCCAGAGCCTCCATTTCCTCAACGAGCCGTGCCTCGTCCTGCTCAACAGTCGTGAGCCTCTGCTTGAGCACGCGCGCCTCCTCGAGCAGCTCCTCGCGCGACATTTCGCTCATTTCAACAAATTCGGCGCCGTCACGGCTCGATGCCGGGTTGGCAATTTGACGGCGCAAGAGATTGGACCGCTCGCGAACAGCCCGACTATCCTTCTGCAGGGCTTGCCATTGCGCAAAGATTTCATTGATGCGCGCAGGGCTCTTGCTCTGGGCGACATAGTTACGGTCAAGGCAATTCTGTTCGTAGAGACCCGCATTTTCTCTGATGTGCCGGATATCGATGATGGGTTTTGGCGCGGTGGACGGCCGCTTTACGTCGCCGAAAGCGCGATGATGAGATGTGAAGTGGTTAGCGAGGCATGGCGAGGGCGTAGGGCGCAGCAAGGGCATCGTCGCCCTTACTGAGTGGCGAAGCAGACATGTTGGATCTCTTCCCATATCGATGACCAAGGAACGAGATGTGGTGATTGATCAAATATACGACGGTACTGGAATGCTCCTGACCAGGATGGGCTGCGATGAGCAGAGGTGAAAGTGGTACAATATTTGACTGAATCGTTTACAGAGATATGAGCAGGGATGGAAGGGGTCCGCTCACTCGTTTGATGCATCCGGTTGATATTGGCCGCGAAGTTGATTGTACTACGGTTGCTCAGTCACTATGCAATGAATGAAAGCAAAAAGCGAATCCTTGTGTTATAGGCGATTAAGTTGTAGTTCGTTTCTCTGTATTTGAACTGCCATGCTTCCGGGGTATCATTGCCGTCACCGTGCTGTCCACTAAGCTCGTTGCGCTTTCTTACTATCTTCTCAGTTCCTTGTACTAGTATGCCCCCCATGCTCCCAAAGTCCAAGCAGCTTGCCCCAAAGCTCCTCGCATCAAACCACCAGGCCCCATACTCTGACGCTGTTGGGACTTGACGTCCACTTCGCTGGGCCGCGAAGCCCCGTTAGCTCCCTGTTGGAGCCATGTGTCACGGTCGACGTTTGCCATGGCTGCGACCTTCAGCTGACAGGCCAGACTAGCTCCTCCCCAAGGACCAAGCGATCCTAAAGACCGCAAGACACCTTGGACCTTTGCATGATGGCTCTCGCGCTTCCTCAGAGACTCTTCAATGACATCTGCCGCGTAAAGCGCTTCGTCATCTGCGACCTTTCGCTCCTCCGTCCTCTTGGCAACCAGCTTATCCTCTGTCGGACCATCAGATACTGGTCTACTGATGGTTCTCTTAAGCATTGTGTTGGAATTGTATTGTTGCGGTGCGCGCCCTTGGACGGGATTCCACCCTCGTTCGTGTAGCAGTTTTGACAGCTCATCGAAAATTCTGCGTCTTAGACCGACGACCCTGGAGCAACCGCCGATAAAGATGATGCGGGACATGCAAATCGCCCGTGTATCAATTGGCAGCTGAACAAGATGTTGGTAGAGGAGGTGATGCACAGGAAGCTCGTCGTCATCGAAGCTACTGCGCGAGTATTTAGGCGCAAAATACGTATTCTCACACGGCTCGGACAGTTGCTGCAAAGACAAAGTTAGGTTTTCGGGCGGTTCTACAGATTGAAGCAGAATGTCAATGTTTCCTTTTGACTCGTCTCGGCCAACTGGAGAGGGTGGAGCGGACTCATCCTGTTCCTCAACCGTGGGTAGGACATCTCCTGGGGTCTGCTGCTGCCGCTTTCCGAGACCAGGAACTTCACTCTGGGCAAGTTGACGACACCAGACTAGGCGACAGGCAACCTCCTCGCATTCCTCGAAACTCAGAGAATGTTGACCTTGGTCTCTTTCGCGACGTGTCCTCTGCGCATGTACTGGTGTTGTCGAGAGAGCGCCCTGCAAGAGGTTATGAGTCTCACTGACCAGCATTTTCCCCCCACGAACTGTTCTTGATGTGCGAACTTCCCGATATTCGTACACACTTGTCACAGCTGTTTCGACCCAACCAAGATCCACAACCAATGCCGACCGAGTGCCCGCTCCGACGGTGGACATAACCGCTGATGACATGAGTGACACAGTGGGTGCCTGGAAACGGTGGAAGAGAACGTCCAGCGCAGTGGAAAGTAGCGGGAGAGGAGTGGAAGAGGAAAGGACCAGAGAAGTACGTCGGGGTCGCGAGTCGATGAGCAGGAACCTGAACGACCCAAATCAGTGAATATGCCACGGGGTTAGTTATTGAAGGTAAGGTAAGCACGGACTTGTTCAGTGCCTCTCGAATAGCCCGGTCTATCTTGTCTTCCACTAGACCCAAGTCCACAGTTCGTACGTCGGACTGCCAGAGCTCATGTTCAACTCCCCAAGTCTTGCCAGTTGGACGGCGTCTCCAGTCATTCTTGTGTTCAGGGTCCCAAGTGCGAAAGTCGCCAACACGGCGTAGTTGCTCGGGTCCAAGTGACAGGACTGCCTTGGGTGAAGATTCTCCAGCGAATCCAAGCTTGATAAAGCGGGAACCCAGCTCTATGACGATATTATCATCCTCGGCGCGTAGACTAGAGGGGGAACCAAATGTTGACGAGATGGTACGTGAAGGCGTATGCGGACTTGCAGGACCGCCAATGCTTGGGCCAGTCTCGGTACGAATGTTCGCGATGGATCGATGAGGAATGCTTGGGGCTGCAGAGGACGACATCTTTTGTGTTGCAGCAGCTTAGACGGCTGGAGTCGAGGTGGGAGCGTCGCCCTTAATGTCTAGAAGACCATGCTTCGTTTCGTGTCTTGCTGCAGCGGTTCGCCGTTGGCAGTACACAATTGAATGTATCAGCTCACATAAAGCGTGAAACTGACAGTGACGGCTATGGGTACGCCGATTTAAAGTCGCCGGGTCGTTGTGAGTGAGTTTGCTACTGTCACAGGAGGCAAGTTTGTATGTCGAGAACGCGCCCGAGCATTCAGGATAAGCAGAAGTATGGCGCTGTAGAGCCCCGCATGGAGGGAGCGGTCAGGGTCAGTGCATTTTCATATCCTTCTATGGGGCGGCCCGAGTATTGCATAATTGCGGATGACATGCTAGTGTTATGTATTGTCAGAAAGTCAACATCTGCCCGTAGCCAGAGTAACCACTGGTGCATGCGCCCTGTCCGACGACATCCGCCCGCTTGGCCAATGTCGGTCCGCGAGACACGTATTTGCGATTGTAACGTTGAGCCACTCTGACGACGAACTCAACGTGAGAAGAACTGGGTATCAGTAAGACTTAAAGCAAGATAGTGAAAGCGCCTTATCACCCTGGCGTTGGAGTCTGTCTCGTCTTCCTGGACCCCCAAAAATGCTCATTCTGCTTCGCCGACGCAATTCGCCATCCACCTCCTTTACGAAGACTTGCTGGCTGAAGATTCGGTGAATCGGGTTTCCACAAGAAAAGTAGTCTCATGATGGGAATCAAAGGGTACTGACAAATCCCCATAGCCGATTCACAGATCTGCACAATCCTCGCTCATACCACGCTTATAGGATTTACCGTGAACTAGGCCCAGGCCAACGTATATCCCTTGCCAAATTGGCTACGGAGCAACTCGAAAACTCAGGCAGGCCGCTGCGCATTGCTATTGACATCGCGATCTGGCAGTTTCAGACACAAGCCGCGCGAGGTAGGCACCATTAATTTCCATGCAGACCACGAAATTTACATTATCTCTAGGTGGAACGAATCCTGCCATTAGGACTCTATTCTATCGCCTACTTCGACTTCTGAGTCTTGGAATACAACCCATTTTCATCTTTGACGGGCCTCACAAACCGGCCTTCAAGCGCAACAAGCGGTCTGGCAGAGGAGATGGAGTTGCCACGGCCATGGCAAAGAGGGTCATTCGCCTGTTCGGCTTTCCCTTACATGACGCACCAGGCGAGGCGGAGGCTGAATGCGCCCTACTACAGCAGCGGGGAATCGTAGACGCCGTTCTGAGCGAGGATGTCGACACCATAATGTTCGGCTGTACCCGAACCCTACGCAACTGGACGGCAGAAGGAACCCGAGGGGCCAAAACACCAACCCATGTCAGCTTGTACGATGTTGACGAACTGTTGTCTGCCGGGACCGGCTTGGATCGGGAGGGCATGGTCCTGGTCGCATTGATGAGTGGGGGCGACTACATCCCTGAGGGTGTACCCGGCTGCGGAGTGAAGCTGGCCTGCGAGGCGGCGAAGGCCGGATTCGGTAAATCACTATGCCGCCTCAAATTTGACGACGACGTTGAATTGGAAGAGTGGAGAGCGAATTTACGAGATGAGCTGCGTACCAACAAGAGTGGGTTCTTTAGAGTACGACACAAAGCGCTGTCCATCCCGGACGAGTTTCCGAGCCGACAGGTCCTGAGGCACTATACCCATCCTGTTGTTTCCTGTACAACTACAGTAGAGAAGTTGGGGAAGGAAGTCATCTGGAGCCGACCGGTAGATGTGCGAGGCCTTAGGTATTTCGTCGAGGAAACATTCGACTGGGTCAACAGGATTGGTGCTACCAAGCTCACGCGGGTTCTGTCTCCCGGCTTGCTGGTAAGCAAATTGCTGGACAGACACATGTCCAACAGGACAGACAGCCAAACTATAGAGGTTACGGGGCAGGGGGAGTCGGATTTGATACAACGCATCACTGGAAGGCGGAACCACCATAGCACTGACGGGATACCAGAGCTACGCGTGGCACACATCCCAGCCGATATAGTTGGTCTGGACCTATCACAGGAAGCGGCCGGCGTCATGACCTATGACCGTCAGGGGCTGGCGCTGAACAGTGACGATGAGTTCGAGGCAGTCCTGGATGGAGATGCCGAGGCAACAAATGGCCGAACTAGGACAAAGAGCACTTTTGACCCGACGCTCGTTGAGTTGATTTGGCTGCCAGAATCGCTTGTCAAGCTAGGCGCACCTCTGATGATTGAGGGCTGGGAGGAGAAGCAGCGCTCCAAGGCTCTGTCTCGGGCCCCGCGCAAGACGGCCAGGACCACAAAGGTCAACAACAGGAAGTTCGCTAGGGGCACACCACACGAAGCAGACGCTCTTGACAAGTGGATGCAAACCACTCAGACCGCCGCGACAACATCCAGCGCAAAACCACGATCTATGGACCTCGACGGCAGTGACAATCGATTGCCGCCACTCAGTCAACCAACGATTCGCAGTCCCAGTTCACCGGACCATCCCTCATCACAACTGCCGACTCATATGCAGAGTTCGGTCAATCGAAGTAAGCAATCTAGATCCAACGGGAAGGCCACAGCCACCGTAGAACCGACCGGGCACAGAAACCCATGGGCATCCGCTGGCTCACAACGTATGCCTAGGATTACAAAGTCTCAACAGTCCACGGAGCCGATCGTTCTGTCATCTAGCCCCATGCGTCCGTCACCTGCGGCTGCTTGTTCGCCGATGAACCCCCCGTCACCAAAACACATCGTAGACTTATCTGGCGCCGATGAAGCATACATCTTCGCGCCATCTAAGCCGCCCAAACCAACCGTACCGCCCCTTCAACAGGTGACCTCGTGCAGACACCAGTCTGTTAAGACCAGGTTAACAAAGGGATCATCCCCAGCACATTCTAGCACACCGCCTCAGGGCAAACGACCCATGAAGCAAACGCGAATGGATTCGTTTATCACACGTTTGTCTAAACTGCCAGTGACCGAACCGAGTCAGACCCAGCCGAGGGCGTGGGTAGGGAATGGATCGCAAACTTCTATCAGCGCCAGTCACATTGTTGTGTCGAGTCGCCTCGGGCACAACAGAGAAACCAGCCTAACTGTTTCTCGAGACACTCAAAGTTCGGCAACGTGGGACAATCACGGCGATATATTTCCACTAGCAACCAAAACTGACGCTTCCGGACAGACGAGGAAGATGGTAGTGCCTCGGACGAGCGTGGGCGGGTTTTTCAAAGTCGTTGAGATGAATGACCAGGAAGAGGACAACTTGAAGATAAGGTCTCCTGGGCGTTTTACAAAGTCTGCCTGGAGGCAAAGCGAAGTCTCCATCATAGACCTTACAGTAGACGACGACTAGTAATACTCACTATTATTACTACAACAACCCATAGTCTAAATGAAATGACAAAACATCATATACAAAGCCTAGTGCTTTGCTTGCAAAGGCAATCTTCTTTCAGGGAGTGTCGACGAGAGACACAAGCTCATCAATTGGGTATCCAACGCTGTATCTATCTATATTCAAGAAGTATCAAACATGTGATTTCGTATATCATCAGTCGGAAGAATAACCAGTATGCTTCTTTATCTCAACCCGCAGGCGCAGCCGACTGAAATTCCCACCAGTCCAGTCCTATCAATGCTCAACATGCCAGGGGAGGTCGCGATCCCCCACTGTCACGCATGTGAGGTAGCCGATTCCATCAGCCGTTCTACCACTGCTGATGTCCAGCTCCAGACCGCTTCCCATGAGCGGCCGCACAATATCGCGGGCCATTGACTTGAGCTCGTCTATGCGTTTTTCAAACCGGCGTAGATTGTCGCGGCTGTATAGCTCGGGCGTCAGCTTCAGAAACCGTTTGCACTCGTCATGGCCAAGGTACGCCGACGAGGAAGTACCAAGAGTACGATATGTGCGGCCGACCGTCGCCAAAGGCGGCACACCGGCAGGGAGGGTGAGTTGCTGCAGATTGCCGTTACGGCCATCGCGTGAGTTTTGTATTCGCCTGTCGGGAGGTGGAGGGGTGGTGTTGTCTGCCAGCCACTGGCGGAACAGACTAACGGCAAGCCAATCGAGGTAGGATGTACTTGGGGTAACACGCTCGCCTCTGGCTGTGACCAAGTTCAGCCGGAAGAGACGGCCCTCGACTCGGCTGATAACCTCCTCAAGCTCGTCAACCTTATCCTCGATAATGTCGAGAACTACATCAGGAAGAGCAGCGCGTAGGCTACGCTCCCCTGCTGGCCACTGACCAACAACATGAATAAGAGCCTCCTGAAAAATAACCCTGCTACGGGCAAGATAGCCAAGACGGAGGTATGAGATCGGGTACTTGGCAATCTGTTTCCAGAGCCGCGACTGAAACTGGAGCAAGTGGTGATCTACTCTGGGTCCGACCACGGCGAGTGCATCATATAGATCCGCAAGGGTGATGAGTGACTTGCATTGCACGTAGGCATCCGCAATGTTCACACCATCAAGGGTCGGAGGGTAGTTGTAGAAGATGCGGAAGAGGTTGTCGTAGTCTCGTAACAAATCCTGATCGGCCTGCGAGAGCGGCTGGGTCGTCGCAGTTGTAGTCGCCGCCGCCATCGAGCTCGGCACGAGGCTTAAGTTGGCTACCGAGCGAAAAAAGCTGTGGTTCGCGTGTGCCGATGAAGAATGTGAATGATTTGACGATTTACTTCGTGTGAAAGATGCCGGCTGGTTGCCGCCGCCAGCCCCGCCTGGGCCGAACAATGACCCGGAATGGTTCCCGGAGCCTTTGGAGCGATCCTCGTCCTTCTGAACCAGCATTGGAACATCCCCGTCCCCCATTCCTGGATCAAGCTCGTACCGCCATCGCTTTCGTGGACTAGACGTGGTGAGCACCCGGCTTGAGGCCGGGGCGATTGATGATGAATCGACAGAGGTATCGTCACTGATGCGGGCAAGATCACCCGAGGCGCTACCAGAGACCGGCTTAGACCATTCAAGACTCGTGCTGGCCTCGAAGAAACCCGAACATCGGGTGAGAGTGTGGCGATGCAGCAAGTAGCGGTTGTGGTGGCTGCCAGCCTTGACTATTACCTCGACATCACCCGAGTTGCTGAAGATGGGGAATTCGTTCTGAGGTATGTAGGTGGTGGCGCCAACGTGTGACCTGTTGTATCGCTTCGTGCGAGAGAGCGAGGGACGCGAAACGACCGAGGAAGGGCCTCGTAAGGTGAGAGAGGACGCGGAGTCGGGCTGCGAGACCATGAAGAAGACGTCTCGAGACCAAAACTGCGGGGGGTCGGGGGGAAAGACGAGAAGCCTACGATGGCTTCAACA